ATTTCTTGTTAAATTGAAGTAAAAAATACGTATCTAATATTTTTCTATTATCTGACTGACGGACTAAATAGAATTGCATTTTTTACTCAGTCATCATCCCTATTATATATAGTGTTATTACTTATTAATAAACAAGGTTTAGCGTTGTAGTAAATTTACGCTGAGACTGCACTTAGTATTAGCCAAAATTCATATTATTAAACAGACACTAAGCAAAGATTAACCTAGTACGAAGTTATACAGGAGTAAATATTAGGTTAATCTTTAATACCTAGAAGGTAGTAGGTCCGCTTATTCTCTGTATCGGTAATATGTATTTGGACTAATATCAAAATTGTAATTTTAATGTAAATTTACTCTGACGCTAAGTCTTGTTTGTTAATAGCACTGTTATTGTTCATGTAATAATCAGATATCAATTGAATCTCAACTATTTGCATTTTACCATTGTACTATCTACCTGAAGTCCAATATTATTAGTGCTGTGTCTTCTTCACTCACCAACGGTGACAGATAAATAATAATATTGGACTTCAGGTCGATAGTACAATGGAAACATGTTTGTTATTGAGATTCTATTAGGATGTGATTATAAAATATAATAAAATACATAAAAATGTTTGTTTTTTACAGATAAAAAACGAACGGCTTGATCGAGATCTAATATCGAAACAAATTGATGTTTTATATCCTACGGATATGAAGGGGCCGGTCAAGAAGGCAGTGGATAAATGCTTCCATGTCCGTAAGTAAATACTTATTTAAAAATTATTATAGAATCGCAATAACCACCTTAAGTCCTTCTTGTGTCTCTGTTTACGATCCTAGACAAATACGCATCGAGGGTACAGTCGCTCTCGCTTGATTTCATATCTTTTTAATCAAAGAAACAACAAACGCATTTATATAAAAATGTGACCAAAAGAATATATCAAAATCTATTTTTATATAATTAAGATGTAATATATTAGTCGTGAAATCGATCCAAAAACAACACAAACATAGAATAAAATTGGTTTTAAAAAATAGCAGTTTCATAGAATCTCGCATTATTGGTCATCATTGTCTTACTATGCCTACGGCTCGACGTCGAGCACAGCGGTTTCCCTGTACAGGTGCGAATGAAATAAAACTTACTTCGAAAGATAACAAAGGCTTCATTGAAGCTCCATTTGCTTGCATTTGCAAGCTGCTGTGCTACAAGATTTTCATGAAGACAGAAGGAAGCGGTTATAACCCACCACGTAGGTTTAATGTGGATTGGTGGGTGCCAATAACTGCAGATATAACCAAGTCCAACAGCATAACGTCCCGTCCGAAGTACAAAGAACAGATAATTGTTTGGTGACCCATCTCTTGAGAGACCTTTGCGAATTTCCGTCGACCTCTGCGTTCGCAAATTTAACACACTAACCACGTCGTTCTCGAGCTACTCAGTAAATAATGTAGTGTACATACTTTTGTGTATGTACGCATAAGTTCTTAGTGTACATAGTAAATGCTATTTTCCATTAGGTAATGAGGCGAAAAATGTTTCTTTTTTAATGAAAAATACAGGCATAAAATCATAGAAACAAAACTTTGAGTGTTATATCTATCCGCACGTATTTTTAATACCAGTATCTTTTGAAGTATTTAAATTTGAAATTTCATCTTGGTTTCCTGATCTAAAAGGTATTTTAAATTTAAATGCTAATGCAATTTAGTCATAAAATAGCGTATTAGTATATATTTTTAGAACCATTTAAGGTTGATTAAACTTGTTGGTTAATAGGCGCCATTGTTATTATTTTATATAATAAATGAGTTTTGTTAGTTTGTTAATTTTTCTCTATATAATGTCATTGATACCCATATACGATAAAATGAAAACAGAGTTTCATTAGTAGATGATTACCAATTCCACTTCTGCTATCTTCAAACTAAATAAGTCGTAAAAGAACATAGAGTTTAGTGTTTCAGTGTAAGTAATATCTATTTAATAATGATTACGTTACTTGTTACAGAGAATAACTATAGAGACCTGTGCGAAGGTGTATTTCATGCAGTCAAATGCATGTACGAAGTCGACCCGCCGAATTTTGTATTCCCATGAAAATTTTCCCGTCATTTGAAATCTTGATCGAATAAAATTGTATATACATAGTTTGACTATTTGGTTAGCCTACCTAAATACTGCTGACATATATATTTATTTTAGAGATGACCCACTTAAAATAGATGTTATATTTTTTTCTGATAAACACTAATAACGAAAATATAAATTAATATAATATAAATTAACGAAAATGATAGGAAACCAAATTACGTGATTTTGTTTATATCGATGACTAAATATGTCGTCCAGTCGTTGAAAGAATGCTTTCATTTTTATACCAGACGACCATTGAAACTCAACTTTATTCATTCTTTTAATAAAATTTATAAAAAAATCTTATTTATATAATAACATAATATTGTATTTTGTTACTAGTAGTAGATATTTTCTGTAATATGTTTTTTCTTGTTACAAAAAGATAGTTAAGATATACAATTGGGTATTTTATTTAATTAATCGCTTAGTGTGATAAGGGCGGTGTTATAACATAGCTAGTATCTTAGACACCCTATAGTGCAAATCGTTAGTGTTGTGAAGTTTTTTAAATATATCCGTTAAAATATCCGAAAAAATAAAAATATCTTTGCAAAAACAAATTTTACAAATATTTTACAGAGCATGATTTATATGACAATACCCCTTAATGTGATTTACTACTTTATAAATGTATAGTAAATAATTATATACATTATATTTGTCTAATTTTTGTAGAGAATTTTATGCAGTTATTCCTTATTTTTTATACTTAAGTATCATTTATTGTTCACCTGACCTAAGAGTTATTATAGATATAAAAGACTTTTTGTTAAATACTTTTAAGTTTTTCTTTGAAATCTGGTATAATTTAAATTTACACAAATACTTCTTAATAGTATAAATATTGGCTAAGGTTTTAAAAATATTTTTTACAACACGATGTTTATGTTTAATAAACTAACTTAATCTTAGTCTGTTCTATAATTCACATGGATTTCTAATTATTGTAGTGGATCAAACATACAGTACACTCTAAATTATAGTTCACATGACAAATACTGTACCATTAGAATGAATCTTAATAAGTAGTTTCTATAGCTGCTGTTTATCATCTATAATTAGTAATTTCTGTTTACTTTATATTGAAATTGTCAAGCGAAATGTCCTCCAGTCTTCTGCTATCGATTGTCTTAGAATCGTTAAAATGTATTTTAAATTATTTACGTTAGCAGTTTTACTTTGTGGAACTTATGCTGTGAGTATATATTTTTGTTTTGTTTTAGAATAACGAAAAAGTATTACCCAGCCAAATTCGATGAAGAATAAATGTAAACAAAGCAAATTAGGGTCATTACAACTTAAGTGTCAAAAAAAACATAAAATACGTATTTCTCACCAGCATACTGTACATTACTTTGTAATTTTATGAGTAATACTTTTTCTGCCATAAATTACCAGAAACACTCATAAAACTTCAATATTTTGACAAAAAATGGAAAATAGTAATAAAGCTGAAATTATTTTGACTTGGCAGCCCTATAACATATAGAATTCAGATATTAGAAACTGATTGATTGTTAGACTGTAAATTTTTATATACAATAAAGAATATTTCATTCATTAATTCATTCATGTTTGCAGTTTTAAACTAACTTTCTAAATAAAGTTGTTACTTATTATAAAAGATGTTCTTTTAGATTGACTACATTTGAAATCGATCGCATAATGTAAGCCGACGCGTGTGGATTTATTTTATTATTCATAAATAGCAAGTTTATGAAGTATTAGTATATTTATGAATAAAACAATTGATTTTTCACTGGTTTTTGTTTACACATGACATGTTCCTTGTAATGCAAGAAATTTAAGATTAAATTACAAAGTTTAGGTAATTTTCAAAACATTACTATATGTATATTTAATTCAGTTACTGAATTCTATCTAAATTGCTTTGAATATTTCATAAAGTAGTATCTCGAAATTGAAAAAAATATATATAATGTTGTCTAGTTTAGAAAGGTTATTAATATCTGTCTCTCACTGGTTGCTAAGCAACGCTTTGTTGGTAAACATTATTCATCGATTTTTTGGCTGTAGTATAGAATGATTAATGCGGTGCCCGACTTCTAGTCCATGGTTTTCATAATATAAAATAATTACAGTAAAACTATGATTATCTATTTCAATGCTAAATTTTCAACTCCTGTTAATGCTTTCCCTAGTAGCGAAATTCGGTACTACAAAATCTTCAAGAACGTTTTAACGCGTGCTAATCATAATAATGTTGTAAACCCCAAATAGGCGCTAGTTCTATCACTGATTTGTTCTAAAATAAGGATGCAAATGCTCTTTACTATAAAAGCATTAAAGCGCTTTGTTGAAAACCGTTATAGTCCAACCAGTCACAATGGTTACTGTTATAGATCTATTTTATCACTATATAGTAACAAAGGGACTCGCAGCCCGTTGCACAAACGTCCATTCAAATTGTTATTACTTTAAAATTATATATTTGACATTCATTAGAGCTTAATGGCGCCATAAAAACCTTATTGGATGTTTGTACAACTGACCGTTTGTCATAGAAAATAATGTTATTTGGGTTGCAACCATCACTATTACTTTCCACGTGTTTCGTTCATCCACGGAACTTCATTAGAAAAGGTTAACTAAAGCTGTCTGCCCTAAAATGTTTGAGCGTAAAACTTGCTCAATAAAGTTTTATAGTACCTAATAAATAACACCAAAATAAACATTCATTATCATAAAATCAGTGTCTCTAACCAATTACTTCTTGGTGGGTCACTTTTATTATATGTTGTTATTATTTTTTTATTTATTGGTACGATGGCACATTACGAAGATATTATAACAATAAAAATATGTTTTTCAGATGACTAGACAACAATTGAAAAATTCTGGAAAAATGTTAAAAAAGGCTTGCATGGGCAAGAATCAAGTCACAGAAGGTATATTGTGTATTATAGCCTTATAAATTATAATACGTAATTATGAAGCTCTAATAAAAAAAATTGTGCAGATAACACAAAGAAAGCTAGCATTTAGTTTCAGGTGACTTAAGCATTGGATATTGAACTTTATTTTATTTTTATTTATTCGTTTATTTGAGTAACCAACAAGGTCAAATATTGTACATGCAAATAAGTAAACCATTAATAACAAAGATTATGTGCTGACTAAATTAAAGATTACCTTGACAAGCATATAAAATGTAACCTGGAAGTCCATGGCCCCAACAGTTAATTCAACAAACTGGAAGTCAATTCAAAAAACTCACAAAAAAAAACTATGATCTCACAATGGTAATTAGCAACACGATAATTTGAAATATTAAGAGTATATTAAGAAACAAACTATGAAAATGGCTGGAATACCTCATGATAAGCTTTTCAACAAGTATTTTTTCTCAATAAATCTGATCGAAATTCAATTACATTGCTTACCACAGTCTAATATTCTCTTAATACATTTTTTTGTTAAAAAACATACTCTGTCTCCGTTACAGATCAAGTCGGCGGCATAGAGAAAGGCAAGTTTATTGAAGATAGAAACGTGATGTGCTACATAGCTTGCATCTATCAGATGTCACAAGTAGTGAGTTGATAAAGAACACATTACACTTCCTCTTGTTGAATTTCTATAAAACGAAGCTTTCTGAGGTAACATTATGAATTTTAAGTTCACAGGAAACTTTCGGTTTTTTCGTAGCTCAATAGAATAAAACTGAACCTTTATTAGAATTACTTGATTGCCTCTCCGGTCTCCGTTCGGCCGTGCTTCCATTCGAATTTCACTCTGAAACTATTGGACTGATTGTAATAAAATTTGGTGCCCGACCGGTCACCTAAAGACTGTTGTCACATAAACGAATAAATTTTTAACTGTATTTTCTTTTTCAGGTTAAAAATAATAAATTGAATTATGAGGCTTCTATGAAACAAGTGGATATCATGTATCCACCCGAGCTTAAGGATTCTGTAAAGAAGTCTATACTGAACTGCAAGCATATAGGTAAGTAATGAAAATAAAAGCCAATAATACTGCACCAATATTCTATAGAAACCATTTTCATTGTTTGATATACCACATGCGGGATGACGAATAATGTCGTGTTTACACTGCTTCCTCGGTGTCATTATCTGTTGTTTTATTGACTAATTAATTTAGCGCGCAGAGATCGCCTGCGCTCCGAGTTTTCCTTCACATCGACCACCGTAAATATGCCACTGAGAACCAACAGTCTATAGCGTAGTCGTTATACCTCAAACGAGTATTCCTTGCAAACAATAATAATCCTATTGCTGCAATAGCGTTGCATTTATAATGTAACCTCCACACTACTTGCGAGGTTGACCAAAATAAGCGTTTTTTTTAAGCATTTTCATTAAGAATGTACTTTATTACAGTTCAGGCAACTTCCCGTTATCTCTCCTCGCTTCGTTCCACTTCCGAAAGTTGTCAGTTTTTTTACCCGAGTTAAAGGACTCGAAGTTGCACGAGTGTGTAACGACGTACTTCGCATTTCGGTCAACTTTCCTTAGTACATAGTCGGGGAACTTCTTTAGTAGTCTGGAGACGTCATAACAGATTGGCTAAGCGAGAAATCATCTGTACACCGCGCGCGGGTATATCAACCAATTAAAATATGCCTACAGGGATCTTCAGATAGCTCTTCGTCTGAAAATTCATTCTTATGATATAATAAACTAATGATATGGACTATGTATATGAATCCCAAAATATAACAAAACGATACACTCCCTTTCTGGGCAGTCGTGTAATAAAGGCAGCCGTACGTAATGTAAAAAGCTACTGATCGGATTTACTGGTAGTTTTCAGAACAGAGTAATAGATAAGATTATAATATTATAAACATTCTGCACTTCTCCATATAAAATTAAATTTTGCCAGATTTCATATTCCTTTGTCTATTTCGTGATTGTTTCGCATATGTAATAAAGCGGTCACCGGTAGACAGTCATTAGATTAAAATTAAGGTCATATACAGGGTTATGGGTAATTAGAACAGATCCTCTTAAGGGGTCGTAGGGGAGGTCATTTATAATTATTTTCACCCCACATTGTATATCCGAAAGTTATTTTTTTAATTAAAACTCCGTAGTTTCTGTTTGAGTCTAGATTATTTGGGTTTTATTATTATTTATTTATCACGAATTGGAATGTTATCTCTCCGAAACTGTCAACAAAATTAGATTCTGACCATAATTTTTGTTTCGACTTTTTTCAAGAAAAAAAAATGATCACAAAAATGGCTCACTTTCGGACACATAACGTGAGGGGAAAATAATTGTAAATGACCTCACCTACGACCCCTTAAAAGGATCCGGTCTAATTACCCATAACCCTGTATAATTAGAAAACATCACATACATTGCTGAGATTACAAGATGAGTAGCTAATGGCACCGTATTATGAAGTATCTGAGACAACGAAGGTTCCACATAACCCAGACCCGAGACAATTTAGATAAGTTCATCGAATCCTCAGAGATGGCGACACCTTGAAACCGGCATGCGTATCACTCGACTACTTAAGTCATGTAATTCTTTAACTGAAAATTTATTTTTATTTTGTTTGTTAAGGTTAAAAATCTATATACTAATGAAAAATTCTTAAAAAATCCACTTTGTCTCGGGCACTCTGAGATGCGACTCAAACCCATGAGCTTTCGCAATCCGGGCGACTTCTCTCACCACTGAGCTTCTCAGGACGTAACAGGACTGACGAATTTTTAAAGCACTTGTTGCTTTTTCGCTACTACATAGTGTACAGAGAGTATATAGAATGTACAGAGAGTATATAGAATGTTCAGGCAACACACCCAAAGCATTGACTAATTGAATATTTTTCGGTATAGCATTGTGAATGCTGAATTTATCAAATATAACAATTAAAAAATGTTTTAATAATATGTTCTATTATGTTTTATTTCAGGTGATAAGTATAAAGACTTATGTGAAATTTCTTATTGGACCGCAAAATGTATTTATGAAGATAATCCTAAAGATTTTATATTTGCTTGATATAATAAAAACATATCCATAACTGTTTTTTATTATAATTATTTTTTATTAAAACATCTCCGTATTTTTTTGATTGAAAGATATACCTATTAAATGTTGCTTGTACGATGACAACTTATGAAATAAAAGAAACCTTTTCAATAAATATTTAACAAACGCTATTATCATTTTAGCCGTACTCTTTCACCCGATTTCTGAATTGAGAATTTTAAGTTAAGAACGTCTCAAACTGTACTTAAAAGCTACATAAACGGTTAAAGTCTCTGATTATAACATTTTTTTTAAAATCAGTGATAGCAATTTTATAAAACTAAGACTCTTTGCCGCGTGAAATGTAAATAACTTAAGTTACTGAGAATAATCAGTTGTGATTTTGTAATTTTCTCAATTCAGGAACAGGCTCTTTGACTGTTTTATTAAAAAATCATTTAATTATTACCCGACTAACATCACTAGAAACAATATTAATAAATACATCTAAAATTCAGAAGCATAATAAGCAGTGGTCGGAATTAGGTAGAGTTATTCATGTACTTACACTGATTTCATACAGCGAAAGAATAAAGTGGATATGCCTCAAATCCCGAGATTAATTTTAAAGAGCAGAAAAAATCCCTTGATTTTTTAAATAAAAAGTTATTTACTTTTACACAATTTAAACTACTGCACGCACGACGTTGCCAAACTTACATCAGTGACATCAGATGTCCAAAGATGTCCAAGATTGTCCAATAGAAATCCCGGGAAGGTCCACATTAATATTAACATTTCGATGCAAGTACATAAATAACTCTACCTAATTCCGACCTTTGATAATAAGTCATATTAATTAACGTAGGGACAAAAAAGACATTTTTGCAGCTTTCAATTATAATCATTAAATCAAAATACACATTTTTTTTTTTACTTAAACTTAAACGAGTAAACTAACGTGGTAAAAAACAGAATTTCAAATGCACAGACTATGGAATTTGATCCGTGTTCTAGAATAATCATATCAGGTTTATAATCCGCGTATGTAATTACTTTGAAATACAGCAGAATAATTATGTGATTCGCACTATTATCTCACGTAGTAATTGTAATCTATATGACATCTACAATAATATTATAAAGAGGTTACATTTGATTGTTTGTTTGCAATGAATAGGCAACTAATGTGCATCTGGACTGAGTGATCCTTTTTCGATTTTCAACAAAACCAAAACGTACATTTAGTAAAAATTTGTCAATACTCATAACCGTAATAAAAAAAAAGGTACTGTTATGCGATCGAAGATATTGCCCAATATGCGGAACAGACATTAGACAAAATGGCTACAAGCCGATTCTCAGGAAACACTTACACTGTGAATAAAATTTTCACATCAAAAGTTTGTCACATTATTTTGCAAAACATCAAGATACTTCAATCACCACCACCACCATCAGCCCTTTTACGTTCCCACTGCAGGGGCACAGGCCTTCCTTATGGATGGTTAAGGAGGATGGGCCATAACCCTCCACGCTGGCCCAATGCGGATTGGAGGGTATTAACGACTGCAAATGCAGCCGGGACTAACGGCTTAAAATGCCTTCCGAAGCACGGAGTAGCTCGAGATAATAATTTTTAGGTCACCCATCCCGTGACCGACCCTTGCGAAAGTTGCTTAACGACTACGATCGCGGGCCGCGGCGCTTATCCACTTAAAACCAGAATTCTACGATAGTTTCAATGGATCACTCAATCCTGACGCATTTAGATTTGTTTCTAGAAATACAGCAATATGCTTACAAAATACATGATAACTTTTTTTACTTTAAAGGAAAATTTTGAATATATTTGTACAAATTAATTCCACACCACAAAGGTTTATAGTTAAAAAGTTATGCCCAATCTAAGCTTTTTAAATTTGCAGGATTGAATGATTCTTATAAACGCATGTAGATAACAACCCCTTGGTATAAAGTAACATACAAAATACGTTGAAAATTTGTACAACATTGTGACTAAAATTTGGCATATAATTTATTTGTTAACGTTATTTTATTAACGAGATATTCGTCTATTAATTTGTAGTCAATGAAATATACAGTAGGGTGACCATAGTGCGAATTTATTGGGAACTGAAAATCTATATAAGTACATACATAAAAAAATTACTTTTTATTGAAATTCTAAATCGCAAATTACTAATGTAAGTACATGTAAAAATATAAGTGATTCTTTTTTACTGTCATAAGTTTTTAGCATATTATCATCATAGCAAACCATGCGCCCATTTATATAGCCATGGTCTCGATAATGGCCGATTCCACCGTTCAGATGCACAACCGAAACTACTAGCTCGACTTTAAAAATTCTTTCACCTACGGGAAATTACATCATACGAGGGTGACATACGCTATAATTTATAATTTAATATATAATTTACGGGGCCGAAGTCGCAGGAAAGCAGCTAATAACAAATATAGACGATGCCAAAGTAAACTAAAATATCTTATGTGGAACAAAACTAACCATAATATTAAATACTGCAAAAACATAGCTCTCTGTATCTTTACTTATTATAATAGATCTACATCATATATGTTAAAGTGTAATTAACTTAACAACAGAAACTGCAGAACCTATTCTAAACTACTGAGAACCCTCGACACAACTTGTCACTCTAAACTAAGTTGCTTAAGGCTTTGGTTTTCTAAAAAATACATTATCCAACCTGAGACATAACCCTGAATTGAACTCCGAACTTCAGAGGAAGTGAAGCTTAAAACCGGCAAGCTAATTATTCAGCCATGCAGGTATAATGATTTTATAATTATAGGTAGTATTTACCCCATCATGTCGTTTCGCTTAAATGATAATGGAATTAAACATATTCTTGCTGCTAATTGGCTAATTCGATCACGATTACGGCAGATATTATAATACTTATAACCATAAGATCATTGATGCAGAATATAGGTTCGATTTAATAGTCAGCTTTCAAGTACCATTCGAATATTATTAGATACTTATTTTAAAAAAGTAAGATTGTAACTGAGCGGTATCCTAGAGACGGTAAAAGAAATTGAGGAAGACAAGGTAAAAGATGGGAAAACGAACTATAACCGCAGGACCTAATTGAAGAAGAGTTGCAAGAGATAGAAACCAATGGAGGACACTAGAGGAGGCCTATGCCAAAAGGCACACTGAAATCAGAGATTTATTATAAACAATTATGTAAACTAAAATCAAATGTTCAGAATAAACGGCTTATTATCATTATTATTTTAAAACTAAATTAACAGATAGCCTCGCTGTGTTCATTTATAAAACCTAATAAATAAAAACATGCAATATCTTGATTTAAAATGGCAGAATCTGTATTGTTACTCTGCTATACAGATTCTGCCATTTAGCTTATTACTGTGCTTATACTCGTACTTTAATATATTTAGATGAGATTACCATTTTAGAAAATATTCTGAATACTTTGTGTTGCTTATAAACTATAAAAAAACTAAGCGAAACTACTAATTACAATTATCTGATGTGTATGCAAAAAAAATTGACGTGCAAGGTAACTTTATTTTATTGAAAAATACTTATGAAAACGGCTAAATGCAAGTCAGACTAGCTCATGAGGGGTTCCACACTATTTTATTTATAACGTTGGTTGTTTTATAATATTAATATGTTGATAATTCATTGATAACACTATAACACAGAGAAACGCCAAGCATTGCTCTTTCCAGTGCCCAGCGACTTTAATATAAATATAAATGTAGGACTATGTAGATTGTAAAATAGTTTGGCATAAGGATCATGATTGATCTATAACTATGCTTTTGAAGGAAGAAGTGAAGAAATTTTAATTTTGTGTTGATTTTATATTTTATTGTTATTACTAATTAATTCTATTACTGGATACGTTACTATTTTATAATTTTAACTATTGGTGATCCAATGGTGTTTACATTGCACTGGGATATCAGTAATTTTAATTAAGAATGTAATCAAATTTTGATATCAGTACAGTACATTAACAAAATTATAAATAATGTATGTTGTGTTCTTCTGTGATGGATCGAGCATTTAGTATAATATTTTGTAAATTTAACGGTCAAATGCAGAAATGTCATTTTATTACGTTTATTTAATGACGCCTTAAAGCTCTAATGGATGTCAAATTTATATGGGTAGGTAATGTCATATTAAACTAATGAAAATTATAATTTGGTTATTTGTACAACCGTCTGTTAATTGTAGAATGCTTAAAATATAATGTTACTTCAACAATAGTGCTGTAGAATCTAAATAAATAAATGTACAATTTGTGTAATAAGAATCTCATATTTTGTAATATGTAATTATAAAAGGATTATTTTACTAATATTTGTAATAGTGTGATATCGATTAAGCAAATCATACTTTCATAACAATTTCAACTAATCAAAAAACATGTCGAATTAATGATGTTTCATTAACCTTCCTAACATCTATAATAAATAATATATACATATTTATATCCGTATACCTTGTTTGTCACCACATAATCACATAATACTCAAATTGTCGACAGATTTGACAAAATCTACAAAACAAAATTGCTTTTTTTTTGCCGTTTTTTATCGCGTTGACGTATATTGTCTGCAATTTTTTCAAGCGCGTGAGATGACCGAGGTAATTATATCAATGGAAATTGCTCTTAGGCATTGTATAAAAAGGGTGGAAATCATAAAAATGGCAGTTGTTTCCTGACTGTTGTCATACTTGACTGTGGTTGTTATATTTTAAATATAGTTTTTTTTTTTTAACTACAATGAGTAAGTTTATAGTTTTGTGTTTAGGACTCCTTGCTGCGGCTTTGGGTGTTAAGGTATTTATGTGCAATTATGTATTAATTTGAACTCACGGCTACACGCCGGGCTACCACAATTTCCTAATTGATTTTGAACTTCTTTACCTGCAATGCTCAAAATCAAAGAAATTTGTCAGTTTTGTATAGCGTGACGTGCTGTTGATTGTATATTATTTTCATTGAATTATTACGGATAATACTGTTTTAATATTATTCCATAATTATATGTAATCAAAGTAATATACTCGTAGTTATGTTCTTGTATAACATCATTGGCGTGGCCGGCCCACATTTGAATTGAGGCCATGAATTAGGGTATCGATTCAAATTTTAACGTAATTAAAGGGATGATGCTAAGGTAAAAAAAAGAAATTCTGTTTACTCACAGCCAGTTGCACAAACGTCCTTTAACGTTGTCATTAGTTTAAAGCGACATTACCTATACAAATTTGACATTAATTGGAGCTTAAAGGCGTCCTTAAACCTTAATGGATGTTTTTGCAACTGACCGTCAGACAGTCAGATAATAGAAAAATATTGGATAACTATTTTCTTTTGCTTCAATTTAACAAGAATGGCTTAGATAAAAGGCATTAAAGTTGAGGAGTGGGGGTTCGCTGCGTCACAACTATGTAGAAAATGTGTAAAGGTTTCACGTCATGCGAAATTTCAACTCAATGTATCGCCGTTAAATATCGTTTAGGAAAAAAAAACGCGTTTAATATTTTTCAATAATTTAATTCACGAATAAAAAAACAAAAAAAAAGTGTGTGGTCATCCCTATTGCATCTCATTAGAATCTCAACTATATGCATATTACTATTATGCTATCTACAGGATGTTCAATATTATTAATGCAATATCATCCTCATAAATCAATGGTGATAGAGATATTTATTTTTTTGTGATCTACTAACAAGAACTGTGTCATAAATGCTTGTAAATAAAGCGCTATGAACTTTTCCTAATTATGGCAAAATTAGCAGAATTGCCAGCCGATGTAAATTAGCTATTAGTCGTTATCCCGCCTTCGGGAGTTCCCGTGTGATGAAATGAAATGAAAATATCTTTATTCAAGTAGGCAAATTTTTTTCCACTACCACTTGTTCAGGACGTCTTTTAGCTGACAAGCAGAACAAGCGAAAGAAACTTACCAGCTTTTTATCATAAGTAATGACATTTACATAAATCATGTCATTACCAAAATAATATGTATTATCACAATAGTAAATACAACTTTCAAAGTCTGTAGGACATAGGTTGAACATATAATTAGTCTTTATAGAACAAAGCGAAGGCTATTAATGCCATGCATTGCGATCTTTAAAATAATCATCAACTTTATATATGAATTGCTAATGTTGATATACATCAAGATGTATATCAACATTAGCAATTCGACCGATGAAAATGATCTTACTCACTTATTGCAGTAAAAATTCAAAAAGTTATTGTTTCCAGGCATTAAGTAAAGAAGAATTGCACGATATAAGCTCATCCTTGATAGCCGATTTTCATGAGTGCACAAAAGAGTTTGAAATATCAGCAGATGATATTAAGGCAGCCAAAGCGGAGAAAAATATCGACAAGTTAGATCCTTGCTTTATAGGATGTGCGTTCAAGAGGTCAGGTGTGGTAAGTTCATTCGTGTTCTCTTCCTACATGTATCGACGATTATAGCGGTGGTTATTATTATTTTTTTTAAACTAATGTTTACTCTCCCAACTGGATGGCAGGTTTTTGTTTGTATTAAATTAAGCATTGCGTTAGGTCTCGATATTTTACCTGATTCGTGATTACTCGGGTTTTTTGAGCATTATTATGACTATTACATATATTGTTCGTCCTTTTTTGTATTACATCATTGCCTGTTGATAATTTCTATTCATATTTTGCCTGATGTTTGAATAATGCATTCTATTTTCTGTTTGGGTGCGTCTGTATTTACATTTTACTTTACAACTAACTTATTTCTATTACATAAACTTATGTCTAGTTTGTAGTTTTCGATTCTAATATCATAGTAATCATCCTAATTGTTTACATCTTTAATTCTTGATGCTTATTAAAATCTTCTGAATAATTTCACTAGGGTATTTTATGAATATACTTTCTATACAAATTGGCCAGAATTTAAATACCGCCTTTTTTAAATAAACAAAGACAAAATTAATTACCATCAAAATAACTTTGAATCACGTCAAAATGAAAAAATACTCGGTGTAATGTAGATATTGCTTGTTGATTAGGTGAACGAGAAAGGACTATTTGACAAGGAGAAAGTATTATCATTTGTGAACGAAAATCTGAAGAATGAAGATGATAAAAAAATGTTATCTGAGATCGTCGAAGATTGCTCTAAAGGTATGTTGCTTGGAGAACTACAATCAAAAGTTCCGAAATAAACTTTAAAAGAATGGAGCAGTTACTAAAGTTCTTTTATTTATCTTAAACTATAACTATAAATTAATAATTCATAGTTCAAAGTATCGATATTTAAATAAGTACTGTTATTAAAAATGCCTCGTCATATCAGCTGTTGCAGTCCACTGCTGGACGTAGGTTGCCCTCGGAGTGTGCCACAAAACACGATCTCCCGCTATCTTCTTTCAGTTATTGCCGGCCCCCTTTTCCCCATCTTGCTTGGGGGCGTCCGACACTACGTTTGTCTAGACATGGTCTCCATTTGAGAACCAGTCTATTCCATCTATCGTCGATTCTGCCACAGACATGCCTAACCCACAGCCATTTCAACTTGCTTCATTTCTGGATGACTGATGACATCACTTTTGTCTTCTGCCAGATTCCGGATCTGTCTGTCTTCCACTAAATTTATTAATATTTGTCCAAGTTAATGAAAGGTAGGTAGGCGGATGAATTCAATACTTTGTTTGTAACGCATTTTGAAACCGAACACAGATATATTCTTGAAAAACCAGTTATGGGATTACTTGTGTGTTGAACATGACTTTAGTTTTGTTCAAATTCATCCCGAGACCCTCACGTCTCGAGGCAGCATTGAAACTATGCAGTATTTTTTGCCTAGCTTGCAACGATTCTGCCATAATGACAATGTCACTAGCAAAGCGCAGATGCGTGAGATATTCGCCGTTTACATTAATGCCAACTAAATTATAATGACCTTATTCTGGTGGCACTTGAAATGTGCCTTTAAAAAGATATTAGGTTTAATATTATTTATTATATTTATCTTGATTGACTTAAAAGTTAAAAATGAGGTGGTTTGAAAGAATTCGCTTTTTGCGTTCCATGTATTTTGTAAACATTTGCTTTACTGATGACTTGTAAGTATATTTATCTCCAAAGAATCGATTAGTGAGATACAAAAGTTAACAAAATTGACAACTATCCACTCTAGTGACTAAAGATCAAAATCGATTAAATAAACATATTGTGGTAGACTGACGAGCTACCGTATGTTACATTTTTTAAAAATAAAACAGATTTCAAGAAACTAAGAAATAATAATATAAATTAACTAATAAGCACATACTACTATTGTTTAAGAAACTTCTATCGAAGTCGCGAGGTTTTATTATTTTCCTTTTAATATTATTTTTTAATTTGAATGGAAAAATATATTACACTTAAACATTTAGTGAAGATACAAAGCTTTGTGAGTGTTGGTGATATCTATAACTCATTTTTAATGATATTGAAACTGCTTTTTTAGTTAACGATGAGCCTGTAACGGATGGCGAAAATGGCTGCGAACGATCCAAGCTTGTTCTACTATGTATGATGAAGCACAAGGATGACGTAAGACTTTCTATTTATAATGTTGAATATAAAATTTATTATCAACTTCTTACTAACTTAGTAGAAATAGCGTCTCATACCAAACCAAACCTGAGAAATGAAATAAAATGAAAACTCCGTGAATAGCAACTAAGACTACAAAAAAAAAATACTATGGCGTGGAGTGGCTGATTGTGAGCGGCAGAAAAAAATTTCTAACGAAAGGTCACAAAAACCCGCAAAGTTAGAATTTAGAATCTAAGAAAGAATAAGAATGACTTTTTTATTTTTGTTTTTTTAGAATAATGTAATCAAAGTTAGTTTCAATTAACGGGTTAGGGTTTAAAATCTTAGAGATAGTTACTTTGAGCTAAATTGATATGCTGTTAACTGTACTATATTTAATATACATATAAAATATATTTTATACTCTTTGTTCACAGATCTTGCCCTCTCGTCGTTGAAGAACTATGTGATAAATAGACCCACTAATGCGATATCGCTAAGACTAGGATATAAGTGAATGATATGAGAACTCTTAATTGTTTATTATACGACTTTGATTATTATATGGATTTTTATTTTAATCGTCAGGTATCCAAAATATATGTTAATAAGTACTTGAAATAAATCCTTTGAAAACTTGATTCGAAGTAGTATAGAGCATAAATAAAGTTTGTATGGAAAAAGAGTAGAATGCATTTTCTATACTTATATTATAAAGAGACAAGATTTAATAGTTTGCATTGAATGGTCCTGAAATTACTGGATTCTGGATCATAAAAACTTTTAACTACATGACTATGGCTACATTATACACAGTTGACAAAAACTATAATTTACGTAGGTGAAGTCGCGGCAGAACAGCTAATCTAAAATAAATTTAATAGCTATGGTAAAGATAGCTATGTTACACTAGCACATGAAACGCATTGTTAGCTAAGAGTAATGTGGCATTTTCTTGACTGTGAGACAGTTGAAAAATCACATGTTGATTAAGTTTAAAAACTACCAAATTATTTTAAAAACGAGTTCGATTTTTTGGTACGCTTCCGCACCAACTGAGAGACTTACCAACAAAGGCTTCATACGTCTTTTACGAAACCAACAGTGATTATCTGAGCATTAGTTACAGCGCTGTGACTAATGATGACGAACACATTGATTGTTCAATATAGTGTACATAGAAAGACGGTGTTGCATAGTTAAGCTGACGATATATCGATATTCTTATAATCGTGAAGCTTATAGGTATTTGTTCACTCATCCAGTCTTCGATTAATAAATAAATAAATAGATTAATAATCCAGTCTCGGCTTAAGTAACTTTTATAAACACCGGCCATTGGATGTATAACCAAACATTTATATCTTTAGCTTCTCCGTGTTGCTTGTTCATTAATTTCAGTTATAGTTTTATTCCAGCAGTGGGAGCATTGATTAATGTTTGTAATTTAATTAACGTTACGTTACTACTGTTCTATCGCGTAAGTGAGTTTACTATCTTAATCAATCATAGGTTGCATCTTGACAGGAATGAAATTTAAAGAATTTCTTTCTAGTAAGTTCCCAATTTTAAAATAATGTAAGTAATCTATGTAATCCAATTCTTTGAATTAATATTATTTGAAATGCAAAATAATAATAAAAAATATTAAGAAAATCAATGCTATCTATTAGTACTTAAATTTATTAATTACTAGTAACAGTAACATTACAGTAAAATCACCTATGAGATTATTTTAGAGTTTAACTACTGCTGCTTCATTTTATTACAGAAGAGTCATATGGTTTTGTATAACTTAAAGCGTGCTTCCCATATAATCGAAGGCCAGGGTTACCCAAATTGTTAGCTGAACACGTTGGTCTATTTAATATAAAATAAATTGACACCAAAACACTTTTGGTTCGTCAGCTAAACGACTAACATCTGGAACGATCATGTTTAAGTCTGGAGTGATATGTTTGTTTGCAGTGATTTGTGCGCGATATGTCTGTGTAAGTGGATATTGTTTAATAAATTAAAGAGTTGTTCAACTTTTAGCTATCCTGAAGCAAAGCTTTTGTACCTATATTTTGACGTCGAGTTCATTGAAGAGTATGCAGAGAGAACACAATTTCACAATGCACATTCTTTACCTAAGTCTTTTGCTTGGTTAAAATCTATTATCCTTCTCACGGGATGTGAGGATCAATAATAATTATATCCAATATAATATAAATTTTCAGCATTAACTAAATTTTAAATTACCTGTGAAATCTTCTACAATTAGTCGCTTGAGAATTTCTCAGCAATACGGTGCAGAGATATTCTTCAAGCGACGATTTTCAAAATATATGTAACTATGTTTGAATTCAGCTGTTGTAACATAATTTATAACAAGTTTTAAAACTGTATAATGATAAATATTTCTTTAATTAGTAACTGGATAGCGCAACAAATAAATTTGCTCTGTCTTCCATCCATAAATATCTTAAGTGATTTTGAAATACGAATATGTGTACAAGTTTTCATTTTAGATTTTAATAAATATTTTTCATAAAATTTAATTTATAGTACTCATTTTTATAACTTATTACTTTTATTTTTATCCCACAGGCATCAGCATCAGATGAACTTAAATCTATAATCCAATCGAAGCTCGTATCTTCAGGCTTGGAGTGCATCAAAGATCATCCCTTATCTCTTTCTGACATACGAGCATTCAAAGAAAAGAGAATACCTAATAACGAAGATGCTAAATGCTTCACAGCTTGCTTGTTTAAGAAAATTGGCATTGTAAGTTTTCTGATTTCAAGTTATGTCAAAATTTATCTACTTGGTTTCTCTTATTAAATACTAGTAAGTACATATTTGATATTTCTAAGTGCACTAAAATTGGTTTCTACAATACATTCATATAATTTTTTTTCTTCTCTTTATTTTGGTACAAACAGTCATTACAATAAAGTGACATGACATTGCATATTTAAACTTAAAAGACAAATATTACCCAGAATTTGCTACAAACAATGCTTATGCTTAGTAAATTGTAACAGTTATAGGTATATTAAATGTACACTACTATTTGTTGCAAAGGAAGAAAATATGTGAATTACAAAAGCGTCAATTAAATTTCTTTATAATTTATTAATAAAAGAATAAAGGACCTAAAGAGTATCCCTGTGGTATACATAAAAATAAATTTATATTTTCAGTTTCTGATACAATTATTTTTGTTTGTTTTAATTAGATGGATGATATGGGAAAATTGAATCCAGCTAATGCAAGAGAACATGCAAAACAAGTTTTCAAGGGCAGCGAACAGCATATGAAGAATGCTGATGAGATTGTTACTGCTTGCTCTAAGGGTTTGTATAATATATCGTTAGATTCACGATTATCTACAACCATCATGAGGTTAAAGTCCTTATTCTGTAATTGCAGAGGTTAATAAGTTATCGCAAAGACCGGAATTCTAAATGAGATGAAAAATTCTTTGATAAAGGTGCAAGAAAGTAAAGCACTATCTCTCTTTGATTTCTGCTATTGTTCCGCCGATTTTACGTTAGCATTATCAACGTCACAATTATGTTTTTCAAAAATAAATTGTAAAAATCTTTAATTCCAGTTAACGACCAAATGACATCCGACGGCAACAAAGGGTGTGAACGGGCCAAATTAGCTTTCAATTGTTTAACTAAGAATGCAGCCAAGGTATGTTAACAAAATTTTTTGGATGAGTACAAGATATCTGTGAGCCTATATTGTGTAGGTTTTAGTCTTGAAGTGAGTTTTCCATCACCAGAAATTTAAGCATACGAGAAAGTATAATTTATTACATTAACTAAGCAGGGATTCTCTCGGTTGATATTTCAAGTTTGAGTTCTAAACCATTATCATGTCTTTATTTGAAATAGTGGAAAACTTAGCTTCCAGGCCAGCTATGTCATTCTGTAATAAGCAGCTTCATATTTTACATCTAGCAAAGCGCTGTCACTTCATAGAATTTCAATGAAATAAAACATTTATTACCTTTAAAGTAGGTTTAATTTGATTGATTCTATGCATCTATAGCGTTGTGTTCAACTGCGAGTTCATTACTGATTTTATTACAGAGTAGCATTACTAAATTCCATATTTTCGGTGGAGGTCTCGCCTCTCTAACTTACTAAATTGCGATGTGCTAATAAATATGCATTTTAGGATTTATCTAATCACCAACTCCAATTGTCTTAATGAAAAGTAACTTTAGATAAAACATATAAAACGCATGGCTTATTTGTAAGGCCTCGCTCTTGGCTAGCCTCGGCTGGAAATACTGCCGAGATCTCGGTCTCGTTCTCAGTTAAAAACTAATGATTTTCTGGGTAGTGACTGAGACTGTAATTGGAACATACTACCTCCTAGGATAGAATAATTAGTCGATTAAAATCACACACAGATAAACCTAAACTTAGTTACTTAATTCTGTAAACCTACAAACTTTCACCTTTTTAATTTGAGTAAGATTTACAGTACAAGAAAGATTTTTGACCTAAGAGTAGGTGAAAATGATTACAATTATCCTCACTTATTAATTTGTTTTATTCATTATTTTCAGTATGGTTTCGACTTCGACGTGGACGTTTGATGTGGAGCAGTCACTGTATTGGAAACATCATCTTTTATCGAGAACATGACAATAGTTGTAAGAGTTAATCCAATCAAAGAGTTAGTTGTTGTTTTTATGTTTTTAATATATCGCTGCGGACTTTAGTACAAAAATAAATACATAGTTTCAATTATAAATGTTTTTTTTCTTGATTTATTTAAATAACTGTTAGGAACATTTATATATATTTTTTTGAATGAAAGGGAAATGTAACGAGTTACCAAAAGTCGTAGAACAATTGTTGTTTCATATAGTGTAGTTCTGCGATGCGTTCTTATAGCTTACAAACTTATACGACTTAATTTATCATTCGTATTACTACTACAAAATGTATAAAGTCACCATTATAAAAACATATTTATTGTGAATATTTTGACAACAATACTATTTAAAAATAATATATAGTAGGTATTTAATAATAATTCAGTATTCAGGATCATTTGTATGGTGAGAATTTATACTAATATTATAAAGAAGAATGATTTGTTTGTATGTTTGCATCGAAAAGGCTCTGAAACTGCTGGACCGATTTTAAAATTCTTTCACTTACGGGAAGCTACATGATATGCGGTCAACTTAGGCTATATTTTATTCCGAAAAACAGCAAATAAAGGGATGTAAATGGAGTGGAAGTTTGTACTCGTAAAGGGAATTAAAACGTTACCATTGGGACCATTGTTTACTAGGTATTCAATTTTTCATTGTTATTTTATTCGTGTCATGATATGAATAGATATCCAAATAAACAGTTCCCCGAAATACGAAATCTGTGTGTCTAATATTTTGTCATTTTGGTTAAATAAAGTTCGTTGTTCGTTCTTCAGTTTGTTAACTTGGCTAAACGTCTGATGGTCACTTATCGACTGGCTTAATTTTGTGAAGTTTGGTTCAACATTAATTTGAAAAAAATAATAATGAGTTTTCAGAATTATAATAGTGGTTGAGGCCATCCTAACAGGTATTCAAGTATACCTGTGTTAAAAGGTCGCCCTCTACTTATGTCTATTATACTTATAATGACAAGATATTTATTGTCTCTATGGCTCACAGACAATATAGAACTTTCTACATCAGTCTTTCCAAAACATTATTCTACCGTGGACGGGTAATTTTCATCGTGACTCACTTAATACTTCTAAACCTAATCCGTCTAAGCTTCTTCTTTTAATATACATTATTTTATCCAATATAAAATAATACACATTATTATTGAAAAGGTTATATTTTTACTACATACTTTTATATCATCTAGTTAGTTATTTAATTTTAGTGCGAAGTATACTGCTGCTTATTTTTTCTAAAGAATCGAGGTGCACGGAAAATTACGAAAGTTTTATCGTAAGGCCTGATTCCACTTCAAGACATTTTCTCTTATTTTTAGGATAAACAAGTGATGAAAACCCTGTTGAGCTAATTTAATTTAAACAAAGCAGTTGCGGGATCGTGATTCGAACGGCCATCAGTTCTTGTCGCTAATATACTCTTTGATTCTTAATGAATATCAAAGAGTATATTTACATGAATATTAGACAAATTGATGAACATGACAAGGTCGATTATGAAATCTTCCTTCAGAAAATAGCTTTTGACGGAATATGCGGCAATCTATTACGATGGTTTTTTTCTTATATAATAAATAGATCTCGATAGGTCATCATTAACGGGTATCAATCTCAAAGTATTCAACTAACATCAGGCGTACCTCAAGGTTCTATTTTGAGTCCACTACTCTTTGTAATATTTATTAACGATATTGGTAACTGTTTTCATAATACTAATTTTTTTATATATGCTGATGATCTCAAAATATATAAATCTATCAAATCTGTTTCTGATTGTGTTCTTGTACAACAGGATTTAAATAGATTGTCGGATTATTGTACCAACAATAAGTTACAGTTAAGTATACCTAAATGTTATCAAGTACGACTATTCTCTTTATAACGTTAGCCTAAGAATAGTTTTGGATATACATATAGAAAAAATTGTTAAGAACGCATTTAAAATGTATGGTTTTATTATGAGATCCTCTATAGAATTTAGGAAACCTACTTCATACATGTACCTTTACAAGGCCTTGGTACGTCCACAATTGGAATATTCTATACCAATATGGAACCCTCTGTACAAAAAATATACAGACTTGTTGGAAAGCGTACAACGTAAATACCTTAGGACCATGCACTACCGATGTTTTGGCTCTTATTTATCATATAACCAACTGTTGACTAAATATAATTTGCTCTCCCTACAGATCAGACGTAAACTTCTTGAATGTATGGTACTACATGGTATCATCAATAACAAATTTGATTGCTCTGATTTGATCAACCGTTTATGCTATTTTGTTCCTAGAACCGTTCACAAGCGCAACATTCGTGTTCGCAAGTTTTTTGCAATTAGTAAATGTCGTACAAATGCGGGCATTCGTTCACCTATGCGACGAATAGTCGACACCTACAACAATAACTTTCTGTACGCTGACATTTTCCACTTTTCCCACGATCAATTCAGGTCCACGATCAACATGACATTACAGAATGTTTAAGGGTATATTTGTGGTCTATTTTAGTTAGTCTTTATTTTTTTTGTTCTGTATAAGTATACCTTTACTGTTTTTTTGCTTGTTTGCATATGCTCTCAGATATATCTTGTACATTTGTATAATGAAATATTTAAAACCCAAACAAACTTTATATTTTACTATATTTATGGATTTTCAACTTAAGATAACGGTTTGTTTTTTATATAAAATTTGTTTATATATAATACATACTTATCCATATGGATAAAGAGCAAATTTGGTTAATCGTTACATTTAAGTTTGATTTATTATATTATTGCTATGTTTTTCGTAGAGATGGGTCGGTCTTTGGCGTGCGGTGGGGAGGTATTGGGGAGCAAATTTCGCAAATTTTTTATCGGTGAGCTTCTTTGACTACACATGTGATTTGATTCACGAAAATACTGTTTTACTTTTATATTTTCTAATATTGTAATGGAAAGTGACTACATATTTTAATAAAGTCATTTTTCAATCTTGACGCTCTGAATGAGGAGAGAAAAGCAGCCCTTGCCAAGTTTTTTTGCCGGTTCTTCTCGGTACAAGGTCTCCCGCCGTAGATTTACGTACCGATGGCGTAGCTCTCGACTTTCACGAGTGCTTGTAACAGCCGAGACTGAATAAATAATTTTGATTTTGACTTTTTTTATTTATTTCATATGAAAAACAAAAAAGTTATTTTTTCTCCACGATTCAAATATAAAGCAAAAGTATGAATCAAACCAAACCAGCAACAATTAGGGTAAAATGTTCCATCAAATATATATTTTTTATCTAATATAAGAAAGGGCGAATGTAATTTTGTTTGAATGAAAAATTACATTACCCATTTTTTTTTACTAATTGTATCAAATAAAAAACAAAACTGCAAGTTAACAATTATCTGTATTATTAGTAACTTAAGCTAATATATATAATGTGTCCACAATTCAATAATGCTAATTTTACGATCTAATTAAGGTGGATGGTCGGTCTATAATTTTCTGTCCCATCTTGTCTAATACTCCTTAAAAATCGAACTGCAACAAAAGAAACCAATGCAAATGTTTGGTAAATCCAATAATCTTAATATACATATAATAGCAATCATTTTGTTACAAAAAAAAAAATGTACTGTGTGACTACTTTAACGGTTTAAGAAGCCTATGGGATTTACCTTGGATAAGTTTTCCGCAAAGCAGCTGAACAGCGCTTTTGCGCGATCACAACCTTTTTCACCATCGGATACAGATTCTTCGTTAACTGAAACAAAAAATTAATTAATAGCAGTGATATGTGTTAATCTATTGGTTTTTTAACCGATTTCTAACTCGAAAAGGAGGAGGTTACATGTTCAATGGCAACGTCTTTTTTTAATGTTTGTTCACCGATATTTTTAACAACTGTTGACTGATTTTCAAAATTATTTTTAAGCGACAGGTTGATAGACTGAGGGGATCCCATGTTAATGTTTTCGAAATAGGATAAGTAGTTTTCGTTTTTATAACAAAACAAAATACGCTTTCCAACATATATCACCTAAATATTAAGATGATTATGTTATGGCATAGCCCGTTTCAGCTAAAAAACAAAAGATTGGGTATTTAGGATTCATCCGAAATCTGAAAGAAAGATTTTCTATGTTCAACGATTATGTATACTTTACTCTTTGATGTATAATTTTTATGAAAGTCATAGATAGAAGCTATCAAAAAGTAAATCATATATACGGGTAGGTATGTTTAACGATATCTTCTTGAATTTTGAACCAAGTTATAGCTGTTTTCCACGACATTTAATATTTTTAGTGTTGACTATTATATAAAAATATCAATGTCACTGAAAAGCATGACATAAAAACTTAATAAAAAGTAGAAGCTGAAATCGAGCGCCTATAATTTAATTAATAACCTACAAAAAACCTCCTCCCGACTTCAATAGCATTTTTTTAAATAACTCGCTTTTGAGATCAGTATTATTTGTCACTTTTAAAAAGTTTGACGTCGGTTCTATTTTTTTTCAGTTTTTTTTTTATTATGAACGCCTTTGCCTGAGCAGGTATACACACATACACAGGTAGGTACACACGATTTATAAATAAGTACTATAAATACCGACTGTTCTTAGAACATTTAAACAAGAAATTAACAAAATAATGAAAACAATTACGTATACTTCAGCTGGTACGGTAATTATAGAAAGGTCGTGGTTTCGAGTTCCATCTCAGAGGCTGATGAAATTTTTAAGCATTTTTCATCAAGATTTTTTTCCAAATTGTCTTTCTGACAGCAAAATTGATCAAATATAAAAATTAGAACAAATTTCCATCTTAATCAAAAGTTAAACATATTTGTAAGATATTTCTTTTGGCTGTTTGGATGGATTGCCTGAACATTGATGTAAGTAAGCTCACTAGTAGCGAAAAGTGATAGGTGCCTGAAAATGTTGTCAGTCGTGATAGATCCAGGGTAGCACAGTGGTTAAAGCAGTCGCCTGGATTGCAAAAAGTCTCAAAGTACCTGGGGCTGATAGATTTTTCAATCATGTTTCATTAAGAATAAATAAAGACTGTTTAAATATCTATTGTAATATTTGTACAACGCGTACAGTACAACTACATCTAGAATTCTCGATGTAATGCGATAATCCACCTAATTGGTCAAAGGCTTCTTACAGTATTTTCATCTAATTTGGTATATTTGAATATAAACATTGAAAAATCACGAGATGCAATATTACCGTGTGATTTATAAACTTACCTTTGGAGCAGGTATCGATGAATTCTTCTACCGTTTTAATTTCATTGCCATCTTTGAATATTTTCTTGGCATGTTCTATAGCAGTTTCACGAGAAAGATTGCCTGCATCATCAAACTGTAAAGTAATGGTAAATCATAATTCTTCGGGTTTATTAAAGGATAAAACTAGAAAATCTATCAGTTTCTCTGATAATTTTATTCCATTGTGCTATCTTTAGGATCAAATAAGATTTAGGATTTCCATTTGCAGATCAATGTCAATTTTTTAAGTTAATGTTTAATTATTTTAAGTTGCGAAAGTGAAACTAAACCAACCACAGATTCCTCCGCTCTTATAAATCACTTTCAAAATCAAAATGATCTTAATAAACGGAGTTACTTACGAAACCAATTTTCCTCAGCACACAAGCGCTGAAGCACGGCGCATTCTCCCCCTCAGGGAACTTTCTCACTTTGAATGACTTGACATCCTCTTCAGAGAGGGGATGTTCTTTGACACAACTGTCTCCTACCTCCACAAATTTCGTTTGGATCTCCTCTATTTGTTCGGGGCTGAGTGCCTGAAGATTAAAATATTCAAGTAGTTCAGATTCCCTATTGTGTAATAAACATTTTAAAAATATGTGGTAGATATTGTGCGGTTGAAGAAAACTTCAATGGAAAGTTGGTGTGCTATTAAAAGTGGCAACGAAAAAAATATCAAATGGGCAGAGTTAATTTCACTTGTATTATTTAAAAATTTATACATAATAAATGTGAGTCAATTTACTTTAATGATAACACTGTAAGCAATTTTCACAAGATGAAAAAATAGATATCTTTACTCTGCATTTCTCCTATAAGGAATATATGATTAAAATATACCGTGTACTGTGAGATGTAATAGAATGCAACGATCCAAATAGGTATGTGTGTCTCTCCTCGGGGTTTATTAACTCAGAAATATGATCAAAAATTATACGACACATTACGACGAATCATTAGACTTTATTTTGTTAATAGATTCTCTGATTAACAATATGTAATTAATGATTATTGTTTTCTAATTAAACTTACCACTGTTAATTCAAGAAGGCTCACCAAAGCGAAGCAAACACCGAATTTGTACATGTTGCTTATGTTGTTAATTGTTTTACTTATCCCAAAGAACTGACTATCAATAAACTTTGCCAGGCTTTTATATCAATTGTTCGGCAAGTCAATATCCTGGGAGCAGCCGACATTGGACACACTGAAAATTGATTAGATGGTGTTTATTTCTTGCATTCAAGGTGTTGATGACAATTTGAAGAGACACAAAAGAACATGACGAAGTGTTTTTGATCGACGATGGCCATGACTGCGAATATTTACAACGGCGTTAAGATGACCACACCCAATGAATATATATAGAGTTGATGTTATACAATTATCACGTAATTGAAAAGTATTTTACTGACGAATTATTTTTCAAAAGCCTGTCCTTGAAAGAGTTTGAAACTTTGTAGGTTGCTTAGTAGTGATTACTTATATTCCTTATTATATAAATTACAATATTTGATTTATATGTGATAATAATACTTGGCATTTTCTCTGCTACAATAATAAAAATGATCCTATTGAAACATATCATATTTCATAAATTTCATTTCAATTTTATAGTTAACAAGAAATAGGTTCGCTTTCACGTTAATCTAATTAAAAAAAAAAAACACGACTAGACAGAATGCTGTTCGATTAATATTGAATTTTGCTTCATTATGTTTATGTTTGTTTCATTTTCTTGTTTTTTTTTTTAACAATAACATTAAAAACGAATTAATTAACTATATTATTACCTTTAAGAGTTGTATAAAAAAGGAAATCTATACTAATATTACTAATATTATAAAGAGGAAAGATTTGATTGTTTGTTTGCATTGTATAGGCTCTGAAACTAGTGGAATTGTTAATACTAGAAAAAAAATAGACTTTGAAATAAGCAAAATGAATCCTTGAGTATACCGCGGATTGGTTTAACCAACCAATTATTATTGAAATTTTACAAATTTCACCTTATTAGTTATAATAAGTTGGCCCTCTTTGTGTAGATAGAGGTTATTTAAAAAAATTGTAAAAATTTGGATATGGGAAAAATAAAGTTCAATAAAACTAAGATATCATTTTTTTAAATTCTTATATTTAGTGCAGATATCACAAACCATTTTTAAAATTATATAAATCGATAACCATTAAACATTTGCCAAATTAATTTTAGGAGTAGCATCTCACAAAATGTAATAAAAATCAAACAGGTTTATTATATATTAAAACATGTACGCTCAGCAGTACGTCAGGATAAAACCAAGTGGTTCCATTTATAACGATTAGTTGTAAACTATTTTCTTTTTAATTTCTCTTATCAACTTCAAAGAACGAAGAGTCTTGTTTTACATTTTCAAAGTCTTGTTTCTTGATGTTATTTATGATTCTGTGGTCTTCACCGTTTGAGATCGGTTGCTGCTTAGATTTGAATACCGAACTGAAAGATGAAATCAAATAGATGAGTTCTTACTATAAGATTTAATAAGACATTACGAATGTAGTTCCATCGATGTTTAGATTTTTATATACAAAGATTATTCATAAAACATTTATCTATAACCACAATATATAGATATAACATTTCTAGAGGGAGACTACAATTTAAACGTAATAAAATTATCCAAATAAAAAGGTCTATTAAAATTTTCTCTACTTTGTCGCTATGTATTTGTATAAATGTATGAGTGTATTGAAAATTATATTACATAGTCGTATTACATAAGTGTATATTGCATAGTAGTAGACTACAATTTAAACGTAACAAAATTATCCAAATAAAAAGTCTATTAAAATTTTATCTAGTTTGTCGCTATGTATTTGTATAAATACTACTAGACTTAGTGATTTTCCCTAAGAATCAAATTGAGCTCTAAACATGCAATTTACCTTTGATGCATTATCATGCATGCATTTAAGAGCAAGCATAGCTCTTTCGCATCCTTTTGCACCGTCACTGACTGCTTCAGAATTTACTGAAAATTAAAAAATATGATGTTTTAATTAATAAAGTACTTGACAAAGATATCATTTCAGTATTGCTGATCGATTAACGAATGTATTTGTTTATTGACCAAGTAGTATTTCTACTTAAAAGTTAAGCTTAAATTCATTAATATGAAAGATTCAAATGTTATATTTAGTTAGTACACCGACGCAATCTTATGAGAATGCGAAACATTTGACATGCAAATGTGTACAGGGTTGTCACCTTTTGAGAAACAAAATTCGAGATATTCGGATAGTCATCCGAAATCGGGACGAGTGGCAACCCTGAATGCAATTCATGGACGTATGTGTAACGATCTTTTCCGTTGACTGCGAAATCGTACTGACGAGGACGCAGCCATTTCATGCAGCTAATAATAGAGCGAGATAGAGCACATGCGAAGCATTGCCATACAACTGGAAAGATTTCGCAAATGTTTCGGATGCGCATGCATCGGCGTTGGTTTGCTTTTGGTTGCTTTAAAACTAAAAAAAAATCCGATAAGTTACTATTAACATATATATTTTTTTATGGAATAGGGGGCAGTCGAGCAGACGGATCACCTGATGGTGAGTGATTACCGCCGCCCATGGACACCTGCATCACCAGAGGAGCTACAAGCGCGCTGCCGGCCTTTGAGGGCTATAAATTATGTTTTTCTCCTAGTTGCTCCACATTAAGTAACAGGCCGTTTGTACATTAATTAGGTACCACATTTTTTACAGTTCTCGCTTGCAAAACCCTATCTAGAGGTATAACATATATTAATATACTCACTATGGCCGCAGGAGTGAAGGTAATCTCCTATTATCTTTATTTCTTCTTCGTCATCGAATACCTTCCGGGCGAGATCCAGTACTGACTCCTTTTGCAACATACCAGTATCATCGAGCTGTTAACGAAAAGTGTCAGCTGTCACAAGTATCTAGGAGATTTTTCTTTTAATAGTTTCAGGTACTGAGGTGTTCCATTCAAGTTTTAAGTATTAGTAATTATACATAGACAATACTTCCAATATACGAAATGTGAACTTGTTATTAATTTCTTGAAATAGTGTCTCAAAATTACAAATAACTTCAATTTCCTATTCGCTGATTTTGTACTATTATATATTTATTAAACTTTATTGACCAGTAAAGAAATGGTACAAAAGGCGACTTTTCGCTAATGGCATTTTCTCCAGTCAACCTTTAGAAAAATGATAAACGCGATGGCGGCATAAAGTAAAGTAAATATGAGTAGACATGCATAGAAACTAACTGATGAAAAAAAATATAAATACATATACATATATAAACATACAAATAACACAAATATACATAGATATATAATATTGATGATATCATTAGTATGTAAGGCATTAACTTAGTACTGATGCATTTGTGGCTCAAGCAGCTATATTATAAACTTTGGATAGATGATTAACTATCTGCTTTTTAGTTAGTTTCTTAGTTTCAAGCATAGCTTTCGTTATTCACTAATGCTTGTTACAGCCTAGACTGAATGAATAATATGGAATTTGAATAAATTGTCTTATTAATACTTACTACTCCAATTTTCCTCATCATGCAAGCCACGAAACACGGCGCACCATCTCCAGTAGGTATATTTTTGTTTCTCAAATCGTCGATGTCTTTTTCCGAGATGGGATTATCACCTATACATTCCGAGCCTACTTGTTCGAAATGTGCCTTTATTTTTTCTTTCTGGTCTGCTGTCATCGCCTTAAATACAATAATGATATTTATTTAATTTGCAATTGGTACAGGTTTAATTAGTTAGTTATTGATTAGTGGAAGGTAGTTTAATTAGTTTTCTGTCATTATAAACATAAAAGCCATTTTCATAGTATGGTTAAGATCTGAATACTGAGAACTTATTAAACGTATGAATTAAATAAAAAAACTAAATTTTGCATCTTTAAAATGTAAAAAATGTGCGTAATTCATTTCAGTATCGCTACAGGACTACTTTTAGTACCAGGTTTAAACCATTATCCGAACAAAAACGTTTCAATGTCAAGTCTGTATGAGTTCGGTTTACTATCCCGGATGGGATTCAGCCCGAAGAATACATAAACAAATTTTATAGATAGAAATTATATATTTTATAAATCTTAAACTCACCTGTGTTAAATAAGGGGTCAGAGCGAAAAAGTACAATGAGCACAATAAAACGGTTGAACGGAACATTTTTAAAATAGTTAATGTTTCACTATCTAAACTTCTTTCAGTGTTTGACAAATTTTCGGCACAACCAGCGAATTTATACTCAGCCATTCGCAATAATAATTAAATAACAAGGTATACTAATATGTCATTAGATTCTTTGAATTAACTTGGGATTATATGGTTATATGTAATTTTGTCACAAATTACAGGTCATTGTTAAAATTCACTTATAGTTTAGCGTATGTAACTATAATTTGGTATGAAAACAGCCAACTTATTGAATACACATTTTTTTTTCGTACAAATGTGATATTTGAACATTTTCTTAATGTAATATACTTAAAAATCAATTTTGTTCCCGGCACTCTGAGATGGGATTGGAATCCATGAAGTTTCGCAATCCAAGCAAATGCTCTAACAGGATTGACAAATTTTGCATTTGTTCATCATCATCACCAGCCTTTTTACGTCCCCACTACAGGGGCTCAGGCCTTCCTTATGGATGGTTAAGGAGGATGGGCAATGACCCTCCACGATGGCCCAATGCGGATTGGAGGGTATTAACGACTGCAAATGCAGCCGGGACCAACGGCTTAACGTGTCTTCCGAAGCATGGAGTAGCTCGAGATAATAATTTTTTGGCCACCCATCCCGTGACCGACCCTTGCGAAAGTTGCTTAACGACTACGATCGCAGGCTTATACACTACACCACCGAGCTACTCAAGCATTCGTTACTTTTTCGCTATTACAGAACTTATTTTCATCAATGTTTAGGTAATCCACCTAAACAGCCGAAAGAAATATTTTTACAAATATTTAAACTTTGGATAAAGATGAAAATTCGTTTTAATTAGTATATTTGATTAATTTTGCTTTCAGTATAGCAATATACAGAAAAATATTCTTAATAAAAAATGCTTAAATAAGCCACTTTGTCCCTAGCACTCTGATAAAGGACTCGAACCCAGCCCAGCGAGCAATTGCGGAAGGTTTTTTTACCCCTTTTCATTAAAATATTTTTCAGTATAGCATTAGGAATGCAAAATTGATCAAATATAATTTGAAAATTTTCTTCATATTTCACTGGGCAAGAGCTACATATGGCGACACCTTGAAATATACCAGGGAAACCATTTAGTGGGTTAAAAAGTAGGCTTTGTGACCATGACAGATCATAAAGTGGTGGTTTATGGAACATTCTCATAATTTAATTCTATTTCATCCATTGAGAAAGCCTTCATTTGATTGGATTTTATAGATAGAGAAGACCTATGCCCCTGCAGTGGGGATTAATATTAATATCCTATTTATATAGGCTGACGATGTCGTAAATCATAGTACGATTGATAAGAGATGGCACTAGGAAAAGAAGCAGTTCATATTAAGATTATTCATCCCATAAATTAGTATTCGCGATCCATGATCGATGCCTAAACGTATGCATGTCAATGGAAAGTAATAAATAGAAATGATATTAAAATTGTTATTTGATAAATAAAAAGGATTCATTCGAATAGAAAACGTGGGAAATGATTTGTCAATAGATACACTTTTGAATAGATTCTTTACGTAATTTTCATAGGGCTGTCAGAGTATGGAAATATAAAAAATAAAAAAAGGCTGCAAAAATTTATATTAAAAGATTCTATTGAAATCAGATGTGAATTTCTTAGGCACGGTGCCTTTAACATTCATCTTTAACATGTTCGTTTATTTTTTTATATTTTTTTATTTGAAACCAACAGCATTACAAAAGTTTACACATGAATGAGGCGAATAACAGGCTTCATGTATGTATATTACAAAATCATCCGCCCTTAAACTGTTATAATTATTCCCAATTGATGTGCTAGTTGTGCCTCTCTCTTTCTCTCTCTCTCTCTGTGTGGGTGTGTATGTGTATGCGTATATGTGTATGCGTATATGTGTATGCGTATATGTGTATGCGTATATGTGTATGCGTATATGTGCGTGTGTATTTGTAATACAGATTTCTTTTGATTTGTCTATATAAGATCTCAGGCTCAAGATAATTAAGAACAAAAGCTTCTATTTAAAAAGACTTTAATAGACTTTAATTTTGAAGTATTTATTTATGACTCGTATTTAAAGATAGATATTTATTTGTATAACAAAACATACTATGGTGACCCTATAAACATACGTTTAACAATAACCGCATTTTTAAGTGGACATCGTATGGCACATCGAAAAATACAAAATTATAATGTCAACCTTAAATCATGGCGATATAAAATTGAAATTCGAACTACATTCGGGATGAATTAACACGTTAACAATTTATCCACCATTTTCTAATATTACCACACACTTGATTGTTATAATCATTTGTCCTATATAAACATATTTCTATAACATTTCACACATTCACACGTTGTCAGCTTATTGAACAAAATGTTTAGTAAAGTTTTCAATTTGTTTTTTGTATCTTTAATGATTCATTTGGTTAAGGTGAGAAATTACTGGACAGAATATATTTTTTTTAGAAACTGCTATTGAAGTCTGTTGGAGGTTGTCAATAACGCCCGACTTTATTAATCAAGCCGCTTTAGATATAACTATTATTATATTCCACATTTTTAAAGTTCAAAGTCGGTTCTGTTTATAAAAAAAGGAATGGTTTTTAGTGATACTTAATATCTTTATATAAAATCACATCAAAATTTGCGAGATAATCGCGCATAAATATACATAAGTACCAACAGGTGAAACAGAGACTCCTTATTATCCGTTATAAAAAGTGATAGCTCTTTCATCTTTGAACGTAAGTTCCGTAAGTGAACCGTAAGTTCACCAGCTTAAGACTATAGCAATTATTTGAACGGCTCAAGCCTTAAGCTCACGGGTTAGTAAATGCATGGCATTGTTCCGAATGGAAACCGCAAGTTGCAAGCTCGCACACCGCGAGCTTGTTAACGGCGACGATGCGACTACTACCTAACAACTTGAAGTTGACAGCCCGCCATTAGCTTTTTTTAAACTGATGTTGTAGAAGGTATTATATATTAAACGATTTAATGGTCAAATTTTCTTGTTTAGTCGGTTAGAGTGCGGTTGGAGCCGCCGTCTAAGTGTGCTATTATCTTAAAATGTTATTTATGGGTGAAACCCGTGAAAAGTGTATTTGGCGCCAGACCTGTTGTACTTCTTTTCGAATTACAAGTAAATTCTAATCACTTTTTGTTCGACAAGTATGAAGTTTATTTTGTATTTTATAGTTGTAGTGAGAAGAAACCGATCTGTTGCCACGAAATTAAAGAATCACGCAATATGTAACAAATTTTGAGAGACAAAATCTTTTATTTGCAGTCTGACACGTTGGATGATCTTAAAAAGCAATATACGGCCACTGTGATGGAATGCACACAGAAGTACGGACTAACTCCGGCCGACGTCCTTCAGTTGAGAGAAAAGAAAATGCCTGATAATGATAACGTAAAATGCATGTTTGCCTGCGCCTACAAAGCTTCCGGCATGGTAAGATGTTTTTTCCTTGTATTATTTTAGCCAGCGTTAGCTTAAACGCGTAAAATGTCCGGATGCATTATGGAAAAATATCTGGTACCCAACATTGTGAATTGTGTGGCGTTATCAATGATCTAGCATCTAATGATGAAGTCAAACATGAATCTGAGAGGCACGCAGCTTTGCAACATCGATAAACGTTGCTGTCAGGTGTTACTGGAATAAAAATTTGTTGTTAGAATTCCGGAACATGAAGTAGACGTAGATAATATTATGTTTTTTAAAAAGTCACAAATAAATATTTTTTATAGAAATCCTTGAAAATTCAATTGATTTACGTGATTCGAGATTTTCAGCTAACCGATCAAAATGCTCTACCAACTGGACTACTCAAAGTCAAAGCGAAACTTGTTAAAATAGTTAATCTTTATCATATTTTATCAATTTGTGCAATCACAATGCTATAGTGGAAAATATTTTTAATCAAATGCTGAACAAATCCACCAATCCCAGGCTTTTTTTCATTAAGAATCGTTAATCTTCCTAAACAAAGGAATCAACATTTCTATAAATATTTAAGCTATTAATATAAAAATGAATTCAAATTTTATCATTTTTAGACAGACGCATTTAGAATGATACTGTTTTTCCGCAACTTCGCATGCGTAAATTATAGCTTATTTCATTTATGTATGGAGCTTCCCGTAAATTAATATTCATGATCAGATCAGTATTTCTGAAAATTACCTCCTATAAAGGTATAGAATTTAGAAAATTTATTGCGAATTTTCTTACGTTGATATGCAACCCTACTTCGGTTATGTTTCACGCCAGCAATTATAAGTGCCTGCTTCACATGCAATAGTCAAACCCACCTAACAGTAGTGGTTCCGCGTAGTTTTACAACTAATACTCTTACTTGACACTATTTATTGAGGAAGTCTACGTCGCAATGGTTCACACATTCAGTTTGCGATGCGGAAAGTAAGCAAGTTTCGCAAGACCCGATCATAAGATGGGTGAACAAACATTTTCTTCTTTTTCTCCGTGTTTCGGATGGCACGTTAAGTCCCTGCTAAATCTGTAATCATTAATATCTACCCACAATCAGCTCACGTGGTGTGCTATGGCCCATTCTCTATATTACATCCATATGCAAGGACCACGCATCAACAGTGATATTGACAGGCTAGTATTAATCTAAATAGTCTGTTGACAATGAGCAGAATTTGAATGAACAAAACAGGAAATTGTAAAATAATTAAAAATAACTATTTGATATTGTGAGTAGTATGCAGCGTGTGCTAATCGCTGTTCCAAGGTCACTTCTGTGTAATTTCACGGTCCGAGCTATTGTAAAATAAGTACCATAGAGGAACGTCATCATTTACTATTATTGCAATGCTTTTCAAAACACAGGAAAAGTTTGTTATGGTAAATTATAAGTTTTGGATTTCTATTTCTTTGACCTGCTAACACAGGAGATAAAAAATGAAAATGAGTGTTATAAACACGTTGCTAAGCTCATGTACTGTTTAGTTAATGACCGATTCTTGTTTATATATCTAATATTAACTTGTTCATTACTATAAAAAAAGAAAGATGAAACGTGAAAATGTTATTAATTATAAAAACTTTTAACTTTTATTTCCATATAAGTATATATGGTTTGTTAATAGAACATTTTTACTAAGAAACAGGTTTCCTAGTAAAATATTCTATAAACAAACTATATATACTTTTATGGAAATAAATATTTAAGATTTATGTGTAAAATAAATGCACTTGTAAATAAAAAGAAGGGATTCATAGTAATGTAAATATAAATACAATTCCCTAAGGGATTCCCTAATTTGCGTGGAAGTCCGTCTTTTGTGAATGGTATAATGTAATTTTCTATTAAATCTAGATGACCTCTTGATTTTCGTACCCCTTAAAAAAATATCTGGTTCTTTTTGTGTTCATTTCCTATCCTCTTAGTTCTTATAATTATTTACAGATGGACGATAAAGGTATGCTGTCAGTCGATGGTGTTAAGAAAATAAGCGAGAAGTATCTTTCCGAATATCCAGAGAAGATGGATAATGCTTTCAAATTTGTCGACGCCTGCCAGAGTGGTGAGATATTGCTCATTCCATATTTTCTTGTTTCAACTTCAAAGAATTCACGATATTATCTTAGTCAGTTCTGAGTATATACGTATGGGGTCGCATTAATGTTTTATCGAAATCATATAAGTAGTTATAGTGATAGAACTTCATAATCTTAATTATCTTGATGATGTTTTTCTCACCGCAATTCTACCTTTTGTTAATAAAATAGACTTAAAATGATAAAAAAATATAAAATGCCATTAAAAGACTGGTCATCAAATCCGGGTTCGTGCCAATATGAACCTTACTGTTGAGTGACTGTCTGACTGACTGACAAAGTATAGCCGAAACTACTGAGCGTAGAAACTTGAAATTTGGAATGAAGATTCCTAAGGGAGTGTGGATGAGCACATAAAGAGGATTTTTGAAAATATCATCCCGAAGGGGTTTAATTAGGGATGAAAGTTTGTATGAAATTTTGCATGCGGATTCTTTTTAGGACGTAGGTGCTCACTAAGACGGGGTATTACGAAATTCGACCCTTTAAACCCCTTATTTATGATAAGGAGATTAATTAGGGGATGAAAGGTTTTATGGAATTTTCTCATTTCTGGACTTAAAACTAAACCACGCGGGCGAAGTCGCCGGCAAATTTTTTTAATAAGATTTCAGTCATGTTTTTATTAAATTAAACAATATGGTTTAGATCCCAAACAAATGACGTAACTAAACATCGACAGTACCACAACACATAGACCCGATACAATAAAGAAAAGTTAAATTTTTACATTTGAAATATGTAAGAGAAAAACTATTCGGTCACTGAATCATTTTTATTACAATGTTAGTATATTTGTTAGTATTTAAAATTCCTTATGATCAACATAAATTTTCTTTTGCTGTTGTTTGTTGTTGAGAATGAGGTTATTAGCAAAGATACATCAAGAGTTTTTCGCTCCTCTTATAACATGATTTCTGCTCTTCTTAAGAAAAAAGAAAATATTGTGATTCATAGTAAGTGGAATGGAACTGTAGCAAGTTACAATCGTATTTCAGCTGTTTATTGAAAACGATAGCAATTGTTTGTAATTGTAAATTTTTCAGTAAATGATCAAGCAGTAAGTGATGGTGATAGAGGTTGTGAGAGAGCTGCCCTGATCTTCAAGTGTAGTTTAGAACAAGCAGCTGTGGTAAGAACATTGAATATTTTTTTTAAGTAGATAAAGGAGTTTGTATTTTATTTAGAATTAATTAGGTTTTAATTGATCAGATTCCAAGAGGAGTAGCTAAAACCATGGAGTATCAAATAAAGGTGTCAAAACATCCAGACCAGAGTCAATATAGAAAATTATTTTTAAGTCAACTTTGATTTGTTTTATTTGGAGATTCTAAATATTGGTTTTCTTTTTCAGTTCGATTTCGACTAAAATCCATTGTGAAGACCAGTGTGAGCGTGAATATAAACTTCGAAACATTTTTATTCACGTTTCTATGAAATAAAATTGATTATGTTTAAAGTTCTAATTTTTTTTAAAGAATTATAGTGTTATAGGTTTTAGGCTTCGGCGTCAATATTGCAATATAATATTTTTTATGAAATCAAATGTAGCATCTTTTTATATTTTTCTAAATTATTCCGACCTTTTAGTACAATTCTAATTTAGACCAATAAACAGATTATTATATCAATAATGTTACATTACAAGTAGGGCAGAAGACCCGGTCTTGGCTACTGTCCTCTTTTGACCTCTTCTGGTCCCACGCAGACGAAGTCGCGGGCGCAGAGGATGTTGGATGGAAACAATTCTTCTAATATACTTTATATAAGAAGAATTGTTTATTTAATGGATGGAAACGAATCTAATAAAATAAATGGTCCATAACCACGCGGAACCAATGCGAATGGTTAAAGACTTTTTCTATCCAATTCAAGGTTGGTCTAGAAGAAATCGCTGGCTAGCGATAAGTTTATATTTACGTAGTTTTGTAAAATATTTATGTATGTTCATATTTTCATGTTGTGCAATGAAGAGTATCACTAACTTACTTAATTGTATCATAAACCAATACGCTAACGAACCAGCCACCAGACCTCATATAATCTATACGATAATATTATGAACAGGTAATATTTGATTGTGTCCTTGCATCGAATTGTTTCCAAAACCTCTGGACCAATTTAAAAAAAAAATCCTCTACGGAAAGCTAGATCATACTCGGGTGATATAGATTATAATTTACGCGTTTAGTTAACACCTAGTGTGTCAGGAGCTTAACTAAGCTCCGTCAGATTTGCACCGACTCTCGGGCTCATGTAATATTGCATGAGCCTCATGATCGGTAAATAAACCTGTGTTTCTAATGAAGACTAAAACACCTACTTTAAAGTAAAGCGATTTGTGTGTTGTATAAAAAAACAAAAAGAGTAACATAAATCTATTATAAGGGAAAATGGATATAACTCGAGTTGTCTTCATTTATTCGAGAACGGTGTAAACCAGTTTAGATTTATGCTGAGCTAAAGTTTCTGTAGCACATATCCTGGCCCGAAATATACTACGTCTCACTGTAAGATCTTAAGAATCTCATAATTTTAGCAGTTTTGCAGTGAGAGAGGTTCGATCTTTTCGATTAGTATTCTTACAATTTAATTAAGGTATCTTCCTGTTTAAAGTAACTGCTAAGAGGTGAACCTAACTTTTTTATAACGTCGAGGATATGCTTCTGTCACTCTCTCTATCATCTAGACACCAACAGGAGGTGAGTAGTACTCTCCTCCGTGAACCCACCCGGAAGTGAGCTACCCCCCGGTGAGCTACCGCACGGGTTTTGGTGGGGAGTCCCCGGAGGTGTTTCCACCAAAACCCGTGCGGTGCTACCTCTTGTTGGAGATGAGATCTGGGAAGTCCTGGCCGAGTGAACAGGACACTCAAGTATTGGGCCATTGGTTGGCTTTGGCTCAATACAAGGATTCCAAACGTCATAAATTGATTATCATTACCGTAATAGTAACAATAATAGTTTATTTGCAAGAATATGGTACAAATGATATTACTAGTTATTAATAATATTTTCTCACATTCTACAGTACATGAACATTGTGCAAATATATTTTTTTCTTTTTAATGGCATTACATGAAATACAGAGAATAATGTTACAGTATAGATCATAACAATAAATATCCATCCGACCATAATAATCTATTTACGAATTATCATTAGAAATGTTAAATTAAATGTCATCTAAATTTAAATTTAATTACCAATTTTATCCATTAAGAAGTCATTTATATTATAATACATTTTATTTATTAAATATTCATGTAGTTGTTTTTGAAACTTCGTCAAAGTCATGTCAGTGAGGTGTTTTGGCAGCTTATTGTTAATACGTATAGCTATACAAAAAGCATTTTTGTAATAAAGAGTTAAACTGTGTGACACACAATTTATCTTTACATCTACCCCTATAATTACAGATACTACCATTCACTTCAAATAGAACCATATACTATTTTTCAAATTTTGCTATTTCATAAATATATAGACAAGGCAGAGGAAGAATATTCAGATTTTTAAAAAGTGGCTTACTCGAGTTCAAAAATCTAGCACCACATATAAGATTATATACATTTTTTTTGTAACTTAAAGACTCAACGGAGTTTCCCCATAAAATAATGCCATACCGTAATATTGATGCTACATATCCATGATAGCCTGTTATACCTGCAGTTTTAGATACAGTTTTTCTTATTCTTCTTAGCACAAATACAAATCTGTCAAGTCGGTATGCATTTTCCAGTTACATTGATCATCAATTGTTATACTCAGTAATTTTTTCGTATTTGCTTCATTGAATTTTTCTGAGTTATAATTAATATTCATATTATTGTTATAATATTACGTGTTTTAAATAACACATATTTAGTCTTATCCAAATCTACTTTTAAATTATTAACGTTTAACCATTCCATTATATTACAGGATTTATTTGTAACTTCACTCATCTCATTAATATTTCGACATTTTACAATAAGTGTTTTATCATGGGCAAAAAGTATAGATTTATCTTTCGTCATATCTGGGAGGTCATTTATATAGATAAGGAAGAGTAAAGAGCCTAGCACATTTTCTTGTGGCACTCCTGTTTTATTTACGCGGTAAGTGGATTGGTATACCACTTTTATATTTTTTCAATATTTGGAATTCGTACACATTGTTGCCTATCTTTCAAATAACTTTCTATAACAAAATTAATACCATGATAAAGTTTAAAAATATGGACTTCGTTCTTTCATTTTCTGAACCATCCTTGTTATTTGTCTAACTAAAAAGACATAAATAAAATAAAATAAAATTGAATAATAAGTCAAACCATTGTTTCTTTGTGAGTACCTCCCACTGCTGCCTTTTTTAATTTTTTTTTTCACGCAGCCGGCTATTATATAGTTCTTGTAGTAATGACACGACTGCCATCATATTTAAATGTTGCGTGTAGTTTCTGAACTTAGGATTCGTAGACTTAGAAACTTGACTCTACACAAGATCTAATAAGTTTTTGACATAACATTTTATATGAACTGTTTTAGTGGGCATCATCTTCTTTTTGTAAATTATGTTATGACAAAATAAAAACTAACAAACAGAGAACTAATACAGTAAGATTTTTTATTAGAATGTGGTTGGAAGACAATAGAGAGACAAAGGCGACTTTTTACAGCGAATACATCTTTTGTTCGTGAGAAGAACTACGGTCGTTCCTAATACATAGAATTGATTAGTTGTAAAATTTAGTTTTGCTGTCTGTTTATTTCTACTAGAAAGAAATATGATACAACAGAAAAGTAATGAATGGTGAAATTTTCCTTTATTTTTGAATGCAACCGTTATTTTATTCGTTAAAATATTTTATATTCTAGCGGCTAAAAAGTTCCCTCAATAAAAGTTACTGTAACGTCCGTGGACTTTACTATAGGTCAATGCTGACCGCTAGTATTTTGAATTATTACTTTATTCATGTTCGAATTCGCGTGTTCGTGTTTTGCTGGTAGATAGCAATTACCAATAAGGAAGTATTTAAAAATAAAAAGAAAGCATCAAAAAAGCACCTCCAATGACCACCTCCTAGATGGCGACTCTATCAAAAGTAGATTTTTGCAGGAAACAAATGGGCCAAAGATCCTTTTACCTAACATATTTCAAATAGAAAAATATGAAAAATTTCAAATAGAATATGAGTTGTTTATTGAGTTTTGAAAACTAATTTACTTTTATACATGAAAGAAAACCGGAAGGGTTGTCATGGAGAAGTCAAGCAAGAACCGTAGCGACATCTACTTTAATTTTGGAAACAAATGCTTTTTTTTAATTGTTCCTTACTAACATACCAAACAACTTACCAATTAACTTATACTCTTATTATAGTAGCGTGAATTTATAAATCTATATAGATGGATAAATATAGAAATATACTACGTTCGGAGAACATATCCACTTAGCACTATTGTTTATGCTAGAGATCTTAAAATTATATAGACTTTATTACAAATATTAATAAAACATCCCTCAACCATTTAAATTAGTAAAGAAAAGTATAAGTAGGTACTAATTGAGTAAAATAAAAAATTTTACTTTTTTTTTATGGGATAGGGGGCAGACGAGCAGACGGATCACCTGATGGTAAGTGATTACGGTCGCCCATGGACACCTGCAACACCGGAGGGGCTACAAGCGCTCTGCCGGCCTTAAAGGGAAGGGTTGAGGGGTAGAGGGAAGGGAATAGGGAGGGGTTGGGCCTCCGATACCCTCACTCACACGACGAAACACAACGCAAGCTTTGCTTCACGTCGGTTTTCTGTGAGGCTGTGGTATCACTCCGGTCGAGCCAGCCCATTCATGCCGAAGCGTGGCTCTCCCACGGTTACTGTATCAGTACTCTATTTCGGTGTAAAAGAAGGACTTACAAACATTATTTCTTGTATATAATATTAGTATAAAGACATGTCGAAGTAGTAAAATGAAACGAAATACGTTATGTATTCTACGGCATTATAAAACGATGTTGTATTCTACGGCGAGAATTATGGCTAGAGAGTTAGGGTGTCGCTCTGCAGCACTGATAAATTATATGATATGAGGACGGGCCGTAAGCCATCACAAAGCCCAGTGCGGATTGATGGATGTTCACAATTGCAAATGCAGCCAAGGCCATGCTTAAGCTGTGTCTTCTGAAGCATGCAAGGTTACGATATTGAGAATTTTTTGATTAGCTCTAATACAATCCACCTTGAAAAGAAGCTTAACTTCCGCATCACAGACTAAACGCGCTAACCGCTACATCACCGAACTACTCTAATAATAGAAGGATTAATAAATGTTACGAATTTAAATGTATGCTGTCATTACGTAGCTCTCTTATTTATTATTAGTTCATATTCGTAATTTCATATAAATCAACTTGATAGATTTGATTGTTATCATAATAACGCAATTTAATTCTTTTAAAGTAACTCTCGCGTATAAAAACAGTACCTAACTGTAGTATGTATACATACAATTTTCAGATTTTGTCAATTTAGTACAAAAACAATAATAGAGAATAAATAAAAAAAAAATGCTTACAAGATTTTTCGTGTTATTTGCTATCTACTACGTTCAACATGTCCAAGTAAGTCTATGCTGATATTATAAAGACGAAACGTTGTTAGTTAGCGTGGAATATGCTTCGAAAGTTCTGGACTGATTACGCGGGTATACGCGGATTACGCGGGTAATTAAGGCTATAATTTACCCGCAGGTAAACAGTTAATATCTGATATTTTTATTAGTAATAGCCAAAGGTTTCTTTCTATACCACTAAACAAACTCTGTTCACTGAAGTACTCGTAACTCAACCCGCGCGCGGTGCTAGTGTTTCCTTGACTAACTTTAAGCTTGCCGGGTAAAAACCGAGTGACTTAACAACATACATTTATTATAAAAAAATCTCCTTTATTTAGGCAATCTACATTTTCCGTTATTTTGTACGTTTTTTCCCTTACAAATACGCATCGAAAGGAAAGACGTGCTCGCTTGATTTCATACAATTTTATTACAGAAAAAAAAATCAAAACAAAAAGCTTTTGGTCATTTTAGGTTATATCAAAACTTATTTTTCTATATATTTTTATATATACATTAAACCTATTTATAGTCTATTGAGCCAATAATTGAAATGTATGTTTCTGTTCTTCGCAAACAATTGACGAGTAGTACGTACTTAAAAAAATGATTTTATTTTCAAAATAGGATTTTTATTTGGCAAATGTTAGCACAGCCTTAGAATAAAATTGGTTGAAAAGTGAAAAGAAAAGTAATTCCGTAACACCTCGCCGTAATGCTCGGCTTTCATAACAGGAGAAGGGGAATTAATAAAAAAAAAAATATGTACACGTAACATTATTTTTCAGTATAGCATTGTGAACGCCAAATTGATCAAATATAATACATAGAACCTTTATACAGGGTTAGACCGGATCCTTTTAAGAGGTCGTAGGTGAGGTCATTACAATTATTTTCACCTCACATTATGTATCCGAAAGTCAGCCATTTTTGTGATAAATTGTATTTATTATTGTGTAAAATTCGAAAAATAAAATGGTCAGAATCTAATTCTGTTGACAGTTTTGGAGAGATAACATTCTAGTTCGTGTTAAATAATAAATAAGTTTTAAATAAGAAAAAATTTTTTTATTGTTGTAAATTTACAAACAAATGTGCATTAAAAAAATAACTTTCGGATATACAATCTAGGGCGAAAATAATTATAATTGACCTCTCCTACGACCCCTTAAAAGCGTACAGTCGTACGCCAAGACCTTTAAGCTACACAACGGATTTAAATGCGGTTTATGTCAATATAGAGGTACAGAAGCCGCTAGTGGAATTTATATTTTTTTATTAACTCAAATCATACTCAAGATAACACTTCATAATGAAATAGTCATATTAATAAGGTGTACCTACTTGTGATTTTATATTGGCATTATAATAAATATAAAGTCTACATCTCTCTTTTCCAGTCCTTGACAGAAATGGAAATAAAAGTAGAATTTACAAAGTTAGTGATGAAGTGTATGAAAGATCACCCGGTTGACATGAAGGAGTTAACAGGGTTGCAGCAATACATCGTGCCGAAGAACAAGGACGTCAAGTGTTTGCTCGCTTGCGCTTACAAGTTGGAGGGAATAGTATGTAACTAAGGATTAGTGTTGTTGTAATAGTAATATCGATATATGAAAAAGAGACGCACCATTAATAGGATTATAAAAATATCGACTTTTTCAATAGTATTGATAGAATATAATAAATTGGTTTTTCTTAATTGGTAGGCGTCGTTTTAGATGTCGCACATTTATATGAATTATATTTATTATTTCTTTAATGTTACAATTTCATTTAAAATGTATAATATTTTTAAAGATGACAGACAAAGGACTCTACGATAAAGAACATGCTTATAAAATAGCAGAGTTGTCAAAGAACGGCGATGAGAAGAGATTGGAAAATGGAAAGAAAATGGCTGATATATGTGTTAAAGGTAAATTAAACTGACATTTCAATTAACAGTAAATAAAGTAGGTACGCCATCGGCGCGATGGTTTAAGGCATGTTATTCTCACGCACGTCATCTAATTAAACTAACTAAAATAACTAAATTTTCATAACTTCAGAATTATGCTCACTGACCTTTTACTAACTAATACAAATATGAACATTAAATGAATTATATGTTAAATAAATCAATGCAAATAAGCTTTAATTTCCATTCTTCCGTTTATGTAACTTATTTAAATTTCTAATATATCAAGTAAATAAAAGTGTAATTGGTTCGTGGTTACTGCGTCTTGCAAAGGATATAAAATGTCTGACACGAAATGTCTTAATAAAAAAAAACCTTGACACCTTTTTCCGCTTTAAGAATACGGAGTAAGAGAGATGACTGATTATTTAATTTTTACACTTGCAGAGGTAAACGAAGCTGATGTCAGTGGTGACGATAAAGAATGTGAAAGAGCTGCTCTACTATTCAAATGTACTATAGAAAACGCACCTAAGGTTAGTGCTATGTGTTGCAATATAAATAAATGTTCAATTTTTTTAGGGTATCCTACTTCACAATAAAGCAGTCTTATAGAGGTAAAATCATTGCCATTCTATAAGATTGCTTTGTTGCTTGTTACAAAATGATTTCTATCTAAACATAATTCAAAATTAAAAGTAAGTTTTTGATGGACAGTAGATTTTGTAGAATAGACCAATTAAACGAGGTCAAACGACAAAGGATTACGTTATTTATTTAAAATAAGATTTCAGCTCAATCAGAATTAAAAATTGAGTCTAATTTAGCTTGCAAGATTAAAACACACTAATGTTAAATCAAAGGTAACATTAGTGTATTTCAATCTTGCAAGTGGCAGCAAGCTAGTGCTAAAAAAGCAAAAAAGTGATCCTGATCTGCAATGCAGAGTTAAAGCCACTTTCGCAAGTGGCTTTAACTCTGCAAGTTCGTCTGTGCTTTAGAAGGGACGTTAAGCTGTTGGTCCCGTATAGCAGTTGATAAAACCCACCACTCCGCAGGAAACCTGCATGTTGGGTTATAGCTCGTTAGCTCTATTAGAGCTAGTGAGTTTCTTTCGTTCGTAATTATCAGCCAAAAGACGTCTTGGATGGATGGTAGGTAAAAAATGTTGGACGATTCAAAAATTTCTTTGAATAAAGATTTTTTTTACTTTTGATTCCGTTCTTATTGAAGGCCTGTGCCCAGCAGTCTGGATTAATAGGTGATGATGATTAAAAAGTGAATGATTAACTTATTTTTATTTTTTTTAGTTTGGTTTCAAATTAGTGTGAAGATTTGTGATCTGATTATCAACACTGCTTACCGACGATGATATAGCGATTGATTTTATGATAATTGATATGTAATGCTCCACTTAATAAACGTTAATGGAATTAAAAATTCTCTTAAAATTTGAGTTGTTTCACTGTGTGGTACAATATCACCATAAAGTATATTATACCTTCGTAATTTTTATTGTTTGTTTGCATCTAATAGGCTCCGAAATACAGTACCTAATTAAGAAATTCTGTCACCCACGGCAAGCTACATTATATGCGTGTAACATAGGCTTATAGGTTTAATTTAACATATAGTTATAATTTTACAATTACAATGATAATATATATAAAAAAAAATATATGCGTACAGTATAGTACAAATTAATATCCTAAAGTTGTTTACACAATGATTTATACGTAATTAAAGATTATTTTTTTAAGTTATATATAAAAGGAGAACTATATAGTAAGCTGGGACATGTGGATCTACCGCAACTTCCTTAATTCATTTTTTGAATTTAGAGAGATTATTATTAAATATGTATAATGCCTGATTAACTGGGAGAATCTTATTATAATTTTTACACATACGAGCAATGGGATTATGATAAGATTCATTATTTCTATATCTCATAACAAAAATTGGAAGCTTGCCTCTCGAATTATATTTGAAATTAATATTTAGAATCGAGAGAAGATATTCTAAATGTTTTTTTTTATATTTCCTCATTAAGTATAAAAAAAAACATTAGTTCCCGAAATCAAACTAGATGTCACTACATTACTTTCTTGATTTCTCTATGACAACCCTTCCGATTTTCTTTCATGTATAAAAGTAAATAAGATTTCAAAAATCAATAAACAACTCATATTCTATTCGTACTTTTTCGTATTTGTATTGATACGTAAGTTTCGAGCTTTACAAATTTCAGTTTTTTAATATGACAATTAAAAGGAACGGAAATGACTATCTTTAAGCCAATTATTTCTTGCAAAAATCCACTTTTGCTAGAGTCGCCATCTAGTGGAGGTGCTTTTTTAGTGCTTTCTTTTTTTCTTAAATACTTCCTCATTTCGGAATGGAGCAATTTAACCGCCATGTTTAAATAAATATGACTTTCTAACTGTTTACTTAACTTTTATGAAGCCATGATTTGGCGACAAATAGTGTTAGATGTGGTGGTATATAAAGTCATAGATGATTGAATGAAATATCTTCTCTAGCTGCTTAAGCTATGCTGCTTAATCTTGCTGCTTAAGCTAATGCCCTTAATCTATCTTTAAATGTTGAAAGATTGTTATCTCTTTGGCGTTCAGATGGCAGGGTAACATGAATGTTTCGGGGGTGTAGCCACTCTTAGAGCGCATTTATCACTGTCTTGAATTCCCATGCCGGTTTTTGAAATTCATTACTTCGATCGGTGACAAAATTTATTTCTAAATAAGAACCACGCGATGATTTTTGAAGAGTTGATAAACGTATTTATAAACAGGAAAGATCACTGTGGCATCAAATCAATCAGTTTTAATTTTTCAGCCTCATAAAGCGCTATTTTCTATTTGCATTGTCAATATCACAACGTATATCACTTTGTTCGTTGCTTAGAAAATCAGTTGTAGTGAATTCGGCCCTTAATTTATCGATAGATAATTAAAAATATTGAATTTGATATCAAGTTTTGAATTCAATTTTGTGTCCAATTCTTCTAAAAATTGTGCGAGACTCATATTTTCTAGTAGTAGTTAGTTAGTAGAAGTAGTTGAGCACCGAGCCCAATTGACCTCATTTATAATCTCCTTAAATCTCCAAGAACAGAATGATTACAAGACGCTATTTTTAACCGACTGCGGCGAAGCGAAAAGTAGGGTTTTGATTTTGGGCGGTAGGTATGTATGTATATATTTATGTCTTAAAACTTTAAATCTAAAATACTCAACGTAACTGGATAAATGGTATCATTAGTTGTCCGCCTGCTAAAGGCTATGTAATGTTTCATTAAATTGGGCGTTTAAGCAAGAAACTAACTAAAAAAATATAACATTTATTCAATCAGTGTAGGTATCAAATTAATTGGCTTATATAGCATATTCTAAACATTTATATAATTGATAGCATTTGCTTGGGATTTTGCTTAATTACGTTAGAAAATTAATTAAATAAAAAAGTTCAAAAACTAAAACCCGACTACAGCTAAATCACGCTCTAAAATGTTTGCAAAGTAGTTGCTATGGGAGTAAAACTCAATTCACGAAAAAAATATCTGCCAGATATTATTATTACATCTTTGTATTGCAAGCCCTGCCCTACGATTCTGTAACAATCCAGACCCGAACTCGAATTCACTCATGTGTCCGAATTCTAGTCATTTAGTATAGAAATCATATTGATTCCATTTTTTGTATAAAAACACTAAACAAAATTGACTGATTAAACGTGTCTTAGATATTTTATTCCTTTATCATTTCAAAACTCACTTAACTTATTTCACGAAACATTATTACCAATTCAAGTTTGAGCGGATGCCGCTTTTTGAACTGAATTCGGACACACGAGTGGATTCGAAATCGGGTTTGAAGGTTTACAGAATCGCAGGGCAGATCTGCAATGCAGAGGTTAAGCCACTTTGCTCATAATGGAGACTCCTTCATTAATATATTAGCAACAAAGAGTTTTATTGCTATTTCGATTGTGTAGGAGATACGATATTAACGTCACAAGGAACGCAACAACTTTGAATTAATATTTTTTTTTATGGGATAGGGGGCAGACAAGCACACGGATCACCTGATGGTAAGTGATTACCGTCGCCCATGGACACCTGCAACACTAGAGGGGCTACAAGCGCGCTGCCGGCCTTGGAGGGAAGCGTTGAGGGGTAGAGGGAAGGGTATAGGGAGGGGTTGGGCCTCCGGTACCCTCACTCACACGTCGAAACACAACGCAAGCGTTGCTTCACGTCGGTTTTCTGTGAGGCCGTGGTATCACTCCGATCGAGCCGGCCCATTCATATAATTAAAATGCATTAAATAAAATACAAAAAGTGAAATAATAAAAAAGTGTTTTGCTTTTCTTAAGTTGTTCTGGGCTCAAACACTCTCATAACTTGTGAAGTAAATAGATTAAATCAATGGACCAAGGTGCCTCAGTTTAAGGTGCTAAAATAAACAAGGTTATTACTCGTAAGTTTACTCGAAGAATTGGTACTGAGCAATAGTAAAAAATTGCATTGGTGCCTTTAAACGAAGATTGCATCAACACAGAGTGATTCTAGATTAAAATGGTGATTCCTCTCAATAGCACATGAAAAGACAAATACAAATTTATAACTCTTTTTTAACGAACTATTTAGATTTTCCCACAATTTGGTTTTTAATATTTGAAAATCAGCGGAGGCAAACGGATATGTCTTTACGGTTTGAGCAAACGAAAAAAAAGATGTGTAGTTCAATAGTGGCGCAGTAAATGAATGTATACTGTGATTCCGGCTATTCTTCAGCCACACGGTATATTAATACGTGATGGGGCCTATATTAAATATTTCAATTTTCTTTACCTCCTTAATTGATAATAAGGCACTATCGTCTTGTATAAGAGTCCCACACTAACTGGATTCTTAAGGACAAAATAATGTAATTCGAGCTGAAAAATAATGAATTTGAGAGTCAAAAACAGTGGGCTTTATTAGACGACAGTGCCTTATTTTTTTAATGAAATTCCTTGAGAATGAAATAGAATGTGTTCATTAAAAGTACTACTTGTGTTTTGTTGATTAGTTCAGAAAAGCAATACGCTTATAATTTTTTAAAATCAAAAACTGTTATAAGCACTTGTGAAAGTCGAGAGCTACGCCATCGGTTCGTAAATCTACGGCGGGAGACCTTGTACCGAGAAGAACCGGCAAGAAACTCGGCAAGAGCTGCTTTTTTCTCCCTGTTTTATTCTATATAGAGCGTCAAGATTGAAAAATTATTTTATTAAAATATGATGTCACTTTCCATTACAATATTAGAAAATATAAAAGTAAAACAGTTTTTACATCAATCGAATCATAACGTATGTCTAGTTAAACAAGCTCACCGATAAATAATTTAAAATATAATAAAATAAGCCATATATAACACCAAGCAGTTTTGTCGTTTAAATATTCATTTACAGTATTATATCCTTTACTGACAATGAGTAGACAATTTTTAATATGAATTTTAAATTTTGCCAAGGGTAAGCTTAAAATTTCCATAGGAATTTTGTTGTAGTAGTGATAAGCTTGACCAGATAGAACCTTCTTTAATCTGCATGATGGCAAAACAAGCTTAATAGTTTCGGAGATATACGGTGTTATTTTTATGGAACTGCTGATAGTCGGCCGAACACTCCCTACAAATTCACTAGCACCACTGGCACTAAGTGACGTCACAGTACTACAATCGCGAAAAACTTATGGGCGAACATTGATGAGAATACGCTCTGTAGTAGCGAAAAGTAACAAGTGTTTGAAAGATTTTTCAGTCCTGTTAGGTCCTGGGTAGCTCAGCGGTTAGAGCAGTCGCCCGGATTGCGAAAGGTCGTGGGTTCGATTCCCATCTCAGGGTGCCAGGGACCAAGTGGATTTTTTAACCATTTTGTATTAAGAATACTTTCAGTATGGCATTGTGAATGCAAAATTAATCAAAATATAATAATTAAAATTTGTTTTATTAAATATTTATAAGCTAAAATGGTTTATATTTTCCGAATATATGTGTAACAAAAACCTGTATTTTCACTTGTATGACACAAGCCTAATATATCCTACTTATTCGTAAAGGTAGTACGTGATTTAGAGATAGCATCATGGATCTTAATTTATGATATTATGTCACATTTGTAATGTAAATCAAATCAACAGTTTCATGAAATAATATTAATTGAAACGCAAACATTAAATGAATGTCTATACGTAGCCCTTTGTTATATTAGCATTAAAATATTGTAACAAAGATGTGACATTATATCATGTTCAATACTCTTTGACAGTATAACCTGTGAGATTATTTTAGAGTTTACTGCTGTGTTACATTGTTAATTAAAGCGTACTTCCCATATAATCGAAGGCCAGGATTAATCAAATGTTAGATGAACACTGGGCTATTTAATGTAAAATAAATTGACACCAAAACACTTTTGGTTCGTCAGCTAAACGACTAACATATGGAACGATCATGTTTAAATCTGGAGTGATATGTTTGTTTGCAATGATTTATGCGGGATATGTCAGTGTAAGTGTACATTATTTTATCTTCACCTTTATTTTGGCATCGAATCCTTTAAATTCTGCAAGAACTGCAAGAACTCACACCATGCGGAGAGAACACAACGTCACATAGCACATGCTTTCCATATGTCTTTAGCTTTCTTGATATCCGTTCCCCTTCTCATATAAGCTCATAGGTTTTTTAATCAATACAAACTAATTTGATTACAATTTAATTTTAAGCGTTAAAAAAATGTATTTATGAATGTCAAGCGACCATTTTCAAAATATACGTGTTTCTATTCGGATACATAACTTAGTTGATACTGATTATAAAGGTTTACTTCATCAAGTTTTAAATCTTTATTATCAAATGTCTTCAATTATTTTTTATTTAGCTATTTGAATAAATTATGTCTAAATAAAACGAATACATCATGTAATAATAAAACCAATAAATTAAGTACACTATTTAATAAAATCACCAACAATCCAATATGATCCCTGACCAGTGGCAGACTAAGGGTGGGGGCGGAGGGGTGGTTCGCCCCGGGTCCCTTTACTGGGGGGCCTTCAAATGGCTGCAAGTTCCTTTAATCAAATCATAAATTGGAGTTGTACTGCCTTTTCTTTTTAATGTCTAGTTTGTAGGGGTAACGCAATATCATGTTCCTGCCCAGTTAGAAAACATTCCAGGCCCGTGCCTGATGATACCCCCGGACCCCGATGGGATTAGTCCGCCACTATCTCTAACAGTGCCAGTGTGAACAGTTACATCAACTTGTAGGTACTTTTACAAGAGCAAAGCATCGAGAGCTCATCGTCAGTGCACATACATGGTACCTTTATCAAATATTTTTTTTCTTGTACGCTGAGATGTGATAAATCCGCTGCGTTTTTGTATGGGATAGAATTTATATGTAGCACATTTTCTTAGATAAATCATTTTCATAAACCGAACAATTTATAGAAATATCAAATTTTTTAATACACCAAAATTTTTGTCATGAAAACCTTTAAAACTTCAGTAAAACCATTAAAACCCCATGTTTAGAGATATAAATATTGGCGGTTTTATTATAAGTAAGTGTAAGGGTCTTTTTAGAATGTGCAGAGGATGCAAAGCACGTGATGCACCCAGACGATATTAAAAAACTCACGGCCAAGAAAATACTACATTTCCTTGTAAAATGTAATCTTGACCATGAACTGTAGTATGTGGAGATCACAATAGATCAGCAATGGTCGCATTGATACTGGGCTGCATAAACCCAAGATAATCCGCAACTCGAAACAATACAATACAACAAGGGTTTTTTTCCACCGGAGATATGCTATACTAAACTATATTATCACTTTTATTCTTTGTATGTAGTGAAATGAGTAAAATGAGCCTTAGTCTTCCGATGACCTTTGTCCTTCTGGGAGCACGTTGTAATTGATAAACTCGTGTATAGAATGCTTTGAAGTAACCAAGTCACAGTAATAAGATAGGAAATTTTGCACTAAGCTTGCAGTTCCTGAGATGATTCGGAAGCCTATATTTTCATCTTTAGTAAACGGTAGTCTAGTTAACTCTAGGGCTATTAATAGATCTCGCGGACTAGCACCTGCTAGAAGAACTAATATTAAAGCACTACTATATAGAGAAAATTGTAGATTTAGTAGAGGGTGTTCATTTCCAAGCCTAATTATTAATTAAGGATAATAGGGATCCAATGCACGATATATGGTCGTTTAAAACTGTGTAGAAATGTAATGCAGCCAACTGCAATTTAGTGGTTTTTGTGTTTAACTATAAATTGTAATAAAACTAATCTGACTAACAACCAATCAGAAATTAGAGTGATCGCTACTGTAGTCTAATTTTTATTGAATTAATTCTCAGATACGTTTAGAATTAGCCGATATCAGGTTCAACTAGGACCTGATTCTATGATTACTTTACTATGTGGACCAATGAATATGATTGACAGATATCAGAAAAATCTATAGCAATGTAGCATAGCAAATCTCAAGTGTAAAAGTAACCTAACAGTTAAATATTTATACAAAATACCATAAACTCAGGTGACGCCAACAAGCAAACTTTTAATGATTTTAAAGTGGACATCACATTTAAATCCGAAAATATCTAATATGAACTAAATCGTTATAATATAAAATATATATTTAAAGCGCATACTAGATAATCGTTTACTTTTTTAACAAATTATTCACAATTTTCTATAGACGTAATTGCTGCAATCATTTGTACTATATAAACGTGTTTCTGTACTTAGATATTGTATTATTTTACGCGTTCACAATTTGTCAGTTTGTGTGTGGACAAAATGTTGGGTATTTTTTATAAAATGTTTTTTATATTATATGTGTTATTCAATTTCGCTGAGGTGAGTTAAAATTATTTAGGTATACTAATATTATAAAGAGGAAAAATTTGATTGTTTCTTTGTATCGAATAGACTTTAATAGACCGATATTAAAAATTCTTTCACTAACGGAAAACTTTACCATACAACGAAACACTATACGTGGGCAAAATCGCGGTATAAGAGCTACAGTGTTACTAATAAATGATGGTTTATCATTGGAGAACACTTAATATTAGTCAAATATCATATTATTAAACAGGGACTTAACAAAGGTTAACGAGGTTCTAGAGCAGTAAAAATTATTTCTAGAAGTTAGTATGTTTGCTTATTTTCTGCATAGTATGAATTTGAACTAATACTAAAATTGCAATTTTTTCGTAAACTTAGTCTGACGCCTTGTAGAGTTCAAAAGACTTTTATTCCACATCGACATGAAATTGCTCAGAAAGCACTTGTTATTTGAATACAATGAATATGATATAACACCAAGATCTGAGAGATTATATAAAAAACTTCATTTTAAACATTGACCCGACCGGGAATCTAAACAGGGAAAACCGATGCCTTGCTTTTTATTTTTGCTTAAAAAAATAACCTGTAAAATAGGTTCAGATATCTCGAGTTTGGTGCTTACCAGCATATTTTGCGATTACTTTTAATTTATAAACTAAACACCGTTAATAGTAATAATATATTTTAGTGTGATCAATTGGAAGATGTATTGAAGAAATTTACGGATATGGATTGCACAGAAAATTACAAATTAACTCAAGAGGAAATGGCACAGTTGCTAGATAAGAAAATACCCGATAATGATAAAATAAAATGCATGTTTGCCTGCGCCTTCAAAGCTAGCGGTTTGGTAAGAAAACTGAATTAACGCAATATTGTGTTATTTAACGATGTATTCATTGTTTAATTTAAATATGTCAACAAATTGTAAGCTCAATTTTCTGTTCACAATACCACAGATAATATGTATACGTAATAGACTATTGAAGTTAAGAAAAAATGTCGTAAAAAAGATAAACAACTTACTTGAACTCTTAACAGAGTTAATAGTTTACTACATGATACTGCCAAATCAATATTGGCTCTCAATTAACAGAGCTCGATTTGCTTAGGGTTCGGTCTGCGATGCAGAGGTTGAATAACTTATGTAAAGCCGAGTCACAGGATATGTGACCAAAAATTTAGTACTCTGTACACTGAGTACCTCGAGTTTCTCCATGCTTTGGAAGATACGTTAAGCTATTTAATATAGCTCTATCTGCAGTCTCTACCTCCACTACTAATTGGGCCCAGGTGGTAGTTAAAGGCCCATTCTCCTTATATCCATAGGAAATCGATTCGAATTCCATCCATAGTCCACCCCTGCAGTGGAGACATTAATAGGTTGATAATGATGATGATGAAGAGATAGTATTATAAAGAAGATGTGGTGTTGGAGGAAAATCTGGGGGGTGTTTAAGACGGAAAATCGGACGAATGCTTCAATTTGAAGATACTTCAAAGTAATCACTAGATTGTCCACCATATGTCTTCGGAGAATCTTAGAATACTTCGGACACATTGCCAGGAAGACTGGAGACAATTTGGATAAATTAATGGTTACAGGCTCTGTGGACAGGAAAAGGACGATGGACAGACCAAGTCTGCGATAAATTGTCTATCCAGATCTACGATGCTATGTAAGTCACACGAAGTCGTATTAACTGGAAGACCATAATCCACAAAAAAGTGATTCGTGGTGGATGTTATGACTCCTAACACTGAGAATATCGAGGCACAGGGAAGGATTAAGAAATTATGGTTTCAATATCTTCAACGAAATTAGTCCATCCAAACATCCAAGGTCGATCTCAGAACATTTCCTGCAGTGTTCATTTATAGTCCACTTTTTGTTTAAACAGTGGATTTGTTTCGACCTTGATAATTATAATAGATCTCTGATTACAATGAACCAACCTGATTTTTTTTTAATTTATCAAATATAACTGTATGACATTGCCCTTCGCAGGCAATTTCATGCTCCAAGCTAATGTAAAAATCCAATCCAAGCTAAGCTTTCATGGTGGTCCTTTGAGAAACGCAATGATTGCTATGCTATGCTATTATTGCTATGTTATTTTGATCATGTTTTGGTACTGTGAGATAGGATCCGAACTCACGACCTTTCGCAATCTGTCGTGGGTTCGAATCTCATCACAGAGTGCCAGGGGCAAAGTGGGTTTTTAAGCATTTTCCTTTCTATATAGGTATCGTATGCCACATTTTTCATATATTCAAATAAAATTATAAATGCCAAAAAACTAACGAGAATAATGTCATCAATATTATCAGCCGTACGACGCCCACTGCTGAGCATAGACTTCCTCCATAGATCTTCATGACGATCGGTCCTGCAGTGCTTGCATTCAGAGGCTTCCCGTAACCTGTTATCAGCCAATTACCGTATCCACTGCTAGACCTTTTCTATAGATGAAATCAAATAAAACAGGGGGAGTGGAGAAATCATAGAGAGAGGAAGGTGTTCATTACCTTCGCAGATGCAGCAGGACCAATGGTCCAACTCGCCTTCTGTAGCACAAGGAACCTAAGATACATTTCTATTCATCCATTTTATAATATTTTTTTTTGAAAGTTGCTTAACTTACGCCTTGCAGACTGAATGCGCCGTTAAACTCAACTAACTAAAGTAGTTTAATATTATTAGCTTCTTATTCGAATGAATACTGGAAGTACCTATAAATAAACAAATGTTTCTAGATGGACGATAAGGGTATGCTGTCAGTAGATGGCGCTAAGAAAGTAATAGATATGGTTTTCGCCGATGATCCAGAAAAGACGAATAAAGCTCTTAATTTTATTGATGCCTGCAAGAGTGGTGAGACATATATACAATTTTAGTTTGCCGTATGTTCTACACCAGTGAATATATGAGAAATCACATATTAGGCTCAGATTCCTAGATGAATAGGCATTTCCCTCGTATTATAAGGTATCTGAGACAACGAATGCACTATAACATCCAGACTCAAGAGAATATAGAAAAGAAAATGAAATGACAATACAGAAAAGTTTCTTCCATTACCTATTTTATTACCAAGTAGAGTGCCACATACACAGATAACTTAAAAAGAGATAAAGTTTTAAATTATATTTTGGTTTGTTTGTTTGTTTGTCTTAAGGTTTATCTTCAGAAATACTGAACCGATCAAGAAAATTCTTTCACCAGATTCTAAGATTACTCCCTATTAACAAACAAACAGAGTTAGAAATTTTAGCAATAATAATATTACTATATATTAGTTAAATTTTTGTAATTTAATTGAAAATAAAATTTTAACTGTAAATTTTACAGTAAATGATCAAGAAGTAAGCGATGGCGACAAAGGTTGTGAGAGAGCTGCTTTGATTATCAAGTGTAACGCAGAACAAGGATCTCCGGTGAGATATTTAACTCAAGTTTACATAAATATATATTTTTCAGTGTAGTAGCATTACCAATCTGATTTGCGATAAATGCTTGAAAAAAATTCGACTCGGCTCGTCTCTTAGCTGGCACTGAATGGGAATCAGGTCTTTGATTGGAACACTTGCTATCATCGACTCTTGCGGTCACAAATTATCATGGAGCAGAAGTGCTGGTCGTATCTTTCCATATGTATTAATGATTTCATCCGTCGAGATCTTGCCACTGCGTCAGTGCCAGCCATTCTAGAACCGAATGGATTAAATCGTTGCGACGGGAAATTACTTGATGAGATGTCACTGGTACCTTGGGGGATGAGTCAAATCCTAGTATGGGATGCCACTTGCGTTGATACTTTGGCACCGACTCATTTTCTACGATCATGTCTCGAGGCTGGTGTAGCCGCCGCTGCTGCAGAAAGCTTCAACGAAAATATTCAGGTATAGGAAATACTTACTTATTTGAGCCGTTTAGTTCGAAACGATGGGTCAATGGTGCCCCGGAGCCCATCGTTTATATCAGGAGATAAAAAGAAACTTTTTGACAGGTTTGGCGATCAGAAGGCTGGCTTGTACCTCGCCCAAAGAATTAGTTTGGCAATTCAAAAAGAAAACGCTCGCATCTGTTGGTTGGATTATCTGTTGGAAATGATGTGGGGGATATTTTTTATTTAGCATAGTTTTAATCATAGCATAGATACGTAGTTTAAGAGTTGGTAGAAAATAGGATGAAAAATATTAATCAAAAATTTAAGGGGTTAAATATCTATTTGATTCTGTTTTTAGTATTTGTTGCTAGAGCAGCAACTGAAATATATACTTGGAAAAATGAAAATTGTCTAGCTATCATATCTAACGCCAAATTTCATCAAAATTATGGTGGTATATTTTGATGAAATTTGGTATATGGAAAATTCTAAGCCTGAATTAATATATAGACTACGTTTTATCCTACTAGCAGTTCTCTAAGGAAAATGGTTATATGATGGTCTAAGTTTCGCTGGTTAAAGTTATTGCTGACGCTGACGCTGACTTTAACATTGACTATGCAATGCATTCCACAGTCAATGTTAAAGTCAGCGTGACAGATATTGTCAAATTTAACATAAAACTTAGCTTTAAATGCAATTCTGGTGTAACAGAGAAAGATACTCTAATCGAGAGTGCTATATTATGGCTATTCGATACGGGTCCTGCAATTTGTTTTATTTGGAGATTTTTAATAGTTTGGTTTGTTTTTTCAGTTCATGTTCCACTAGAATCCGGAAAATTAACGCAGAAGACCAGCGATGCTGTGTTACATAGAGTCTCAATGGAATTTCTTTCAAATCAAATTTATGTTTTATTCAAATATAATTTGAATTTTACGTTTCTTTTTTCTCTTTCTCCTCTCTTTATTTCTATGTTATAAATCTTCGACTATTATCACTCTCTGTATTAGCAGATATAAATCTGCCCTTGGCTAAAACTAATAGAGGTACTTATCAGATCCAGAATAAAAATTTATCTAGAATCAGACTTTTTCCAATGCTTGCATTTTTGTTTTATTGTTTTTCAATAAAATTTTAATGTGTACTGAAATTCTTAGTAATTATAAATTCATAGATTTTGACAGAGTGATAACAAATTAAAGTTACTTGTTTATTATTTACTTTATTACTTTTGAATAGTTTATCATGGTTTCTTTAAATAAATATTGTAAATTAGGCAAATTGGACAGGAACCTGAGTTTGCATACTGTAGGTTTAAAAACTACGGACAAATGTTACAACCTGCTTCGTGACTTTTTTCGATCTCTTCGTTCAAATCAATATTTATTTTGATGTGCTAAGTCGATGTCAAAGCATTATTTGCGTAGTATCTTTTATACTTTGTATTAGAAATTACCAACTACGGTTTTAAATTAATGATAGAATACAAAAGAACTGAACAGAGCAGAATAGAACAGAATAAAAATCTATGATTCTATTTATTTGTGTTTCAACAGGGTAGAATGTACAATATGACAAATAGTTGTAAAAACCTAGTAACACCTATTCAGGTATAGTATATCAGCGTACAAATATTTAAATAAACTGTATTTATTACATTATGAATGTCCAAAACCCGTTTTTGATGATTTATTGATTTTCTTTAACTTCGCTATTTCGAAGATGTATAGGCATGGTAGTAGCGGAATATTTTATGTTTTAAAAACGGCAAAACCACACAAAAAATGCAACCACAATCACTTATATGCTTTTTGTGCCACAATTGCCCTGCTTATGTCTGTATTGTTTCCAGAAACAAGTAGTCCATTCCGTTATACATATTAAACATAAGCGAAATATGCTGTTTTTCTCGTTGCTACTTTTGTTAACTTAAAGAGTGCAAAAACAAATCTACTTATTTTACTATACACGTTATCAATATGTGACTTCCAATAATTTTTTATTAAGTTCAATGCAAAGAAAAGTAACTTCCTTAAATCTTTAAGAATATCATTTTGATGATGTACGTTTAGAAATTGATCATTATTATAATTTATGTACTTAGTTTTATTCCTATTAATTTTTAAATTGTTATCATTAAGTCAAGTATTTAGTAATTTAATTGTATTATTAGTATCTTCCTGGTGATTATTACCATTAAGATTTGGATAGTTTTAGGTTTTGACTAACACTGATATGTGATCTGTGAATAGAATGCGTCTGTGTTTTATCACACGAGGCAGATCATTTACATAAATCAGAAACAAGAGCGGATCAAAAGATCTGCCTTGCGGCACGCCAAATTTGATGATGATTTTTCAAAACTTTAGTTTTGAAAAATCCTATCCACCTATTCAGGTATAGTATATCAGCGTACAAATATTTATTTATAATATTTAAGAAAAATGAGGTGAGCTGGTCATGCATTATTTTTTCATTAACTTCTGATAGAATAGGGAGTAATGTTATTGGCCGGTATTTGGCAATTATAACCGTGAACGTTGATTAAAAAGACAATCGATCGTTTAAAGCTCTCAGGGAAAATTCCCCTTCCGAGCGATAGATTTACCAGATGTGCTAGAATGGAAGCTAACTCTTCCTCAGAAACTTCCTAACAAACACTTTGTGTTTATTTCATCAAAACCTACAGAGTTTTTATTATTTGAGGTCTTAATATTTCTTTATTGTAATTTTTTGATAGGTGAAAGATAAATTGAATTATTTAAACTGTTATTACTAATTTTCAGATTATTGTCATTATTTATACTATTTAGTCATCATTACTACTATTCTAAAGATAAACCCTTCAGATGACCTCGGAAATTTAAAATATTTTCACGTGAGTAAATTCGAGTAAAAATGAAAACAGCATTTGGTAGCCTTTGGTAAGGAACGCAAGTAACTGGGCTGTGTTATGATTAGAAAGCCAGAGTAGAGTAAAAGACTACCAGAGGCACCCATTAGGTTAATAAATACGTGATCAATAAAAAGAGTTTCCTCTCGTTTGTGTTGATGTGTTGATAAAATTGTAATTTTTAAGAATATCCGTAAGCTGTTTTGATGTCTTGTTTCAATTAGAGTATTGTTATTTATATCACCCTACATAATAATAATTATTTTGTTATGTTTATGCAAATAAAAATATAGTAAATTATGTAATTTTTCAAAAAAATAATCGTAATGTCCTATTTAGTGGCAGTAGAGTACCTATATATACATATATGATATTCTGTGTCGGAATGTACAGTATTCTAAATGCTAAAAAATTCAATCCTCTTTTATTACACATGAAGAAGTGAGTTGCAAGTTCATAATTTTTGATATTTATATTTTTTTTCTCCCCCTTTTTTATAAGATGATTTTTCTATGATTTTTCTATTTGCTCTATTTTTGATAATAATCCCTGAATATTTATTGTAAGACTAGCTGTGCCCGCAACTTCGTCTGCGTGGGAAGTATTTTGGTAGAATTTTTTTATTCCTATGGAGTCGAATCAAATAAGATCAATGGGCCATAACTTAATGCGGATCGGTGGGTGTTAATGTTGCTGATGCAGCCAGGACTAACGGCTTAACGTACATTGTGCCAGTGTTGTACACAGTGCTCAGGATAATAATGTTTTGGTCACCCATGCTGTCCTTACGAATGTAATTTTCTATCTTTTTTCTCGTTTCTCGCGCTCTGGTTGTCGCTTGTGTTTGAGAATTTTATTCGTAGCTGGAAACTGTCCTTCTTTTGTTTTTGATCTTTTTATTATTTATCTAGTTATATGCACAATCGGCTATTTATTGTTCTTTTTTTCATGTAATGCTAGGTTGCCTGGAAGAAATCGCTTGCTAGCGATGAGTTTGTCGTTTGTACTTAGTTACGCAAAATAAGTTTTCATGTATATACATGTTGTGCAGTATTTTACTCATTTATTTCACTGCAATTTAAATCGAATGCGCTAACCCACTACGCCATCGGACCTCTTATACCTAAGATATACTAATAATAACAAACTACCAAATCTTTCCTCTTTATAAAAAGAGGAAGGATTTGGTTGTTTGTTTGTTTGCATCGAATTTGCTCCAAAACTACTGGACCGATAGTTTCAGAGCGATTCCGACCTACGGGAAGCTACATCAGATGCGGATGTCATAGGCTATAATTTTGCGGTAAAGTCGCAGGAAAACAGCTAGTTCATTACATCCTGTCATAACTTATCTGCGATACGCCTGTGGAGTATGAAGGCAACATAGGTTGGCGATAATCGAAATTATTTTCTCGATCTCTATTGTGCAAACTGTGAGCTCTTTTAGAGACCAAGCGCATTTTTCTATCAAAGGAAGTTTCATACTCATACCATACTGCATGTATGTTACGATCAGCAGTTAGACGCGCTATGCGATCTTCAGAAGTTTCCTGAGATCAAACGCTTGTTGTATGAGTTCTCCGAGAGCTCAAGAGATTGTTCCTGACGGTAAATGCTTCAGATTCAACTTTATAGTGCATGAGCCTGACGTATGAACGTATGCAATACGTTTCGCGTTTTTCAGGTGTCTCCCGAGACCG